GGTAAGAAAGGAAGTAAATAACGCGATGACTGCGAACAGGGATGAATGGAAGCGAAAAACATATTACGTGGACCACAAATAAATGGGATAAGGAAGAAGCAGATGATGATGTAGCACGATACTTGCGTGTAACTTTACATCTCCCCTTTCAACCCCTTACTACCCTTTTTTGCATAAAAAGTAGGCAACAGTGTATATACTCATATAGCACGATACTTGCATACAACCTTTCATCTCCCCTTTCAACCCCTTACAACCCTTTTATCGCATTAAAAATAACCTACAGTATATGTACTCGTATATCATTATCTAAAGGAATATATACGTTATTGAGTGCACATCGATATTGCGACGTTTTTCGCCTCTGAACTGCATCATCAGGCATTGAAGTAGAATTTCGGAAGCCTAGTGTGGAATCTTCGGCGACTGACTGCCGGCTGAACAGTTCCGCCGAACAGTCAATACTAAGGTAGCGGAATTGAGAGAAATTATATAAATCGCATTAATTAATGATAGACTTAAAAAATGATGCCTACAGCCACCATTTACCATCGCACCGCTCGCCATCGACAGGGAATTCATCCCCACACGCTAGAACCTGAAGTGGTCTCGGACAGTGCGGTTTCAGAGGAGCGTACTCCCGCGTACACTTAGATTGTGGATTGAACCTGCCGAGGTTTTCTTTCGTGACTACAGTAGGAGGTATTTAAAAAGGTTATATTAAGGTTTCTTAAGGGATGCGGTTTCAGAGGAGCTTCCTCCCGCATACACTTAGATTGTAGAATGAACTACCTGCCGAGGTTTTCTCATCTAACTACAGTATGGCGATTTTTAAGAAGGATATATTAAGGGTCGATAATACGCACGTAACACCTCTGGTGTTTCATGCGTCCATACGCTACGGTAATAATTTACCACCAGATAATCTCGAGCACGTTGTAAAAAATTCAATTTTTAATTATATTATTTATTAGTATGAAATTAATAATAATAATAATAATAATAATAATCTTAGGACAATTCACACAGCGCCATCTAGACCCAAGTTAAGCTAGCTAAAGCTTATGTTATGGGTACTAGATAACTGATACAAATACATAGATATTTTTTTTTTGTAAATACATACATATTATATATAGAAAACACCCAGACCGATACAAACAATCATACTCATGAATACAAATGTTTGTGCCGTGCGAGGAATCGAACCCGCGACCATCGGTCGTAAAGCGGTGTACTAGACCGCTGGACCACCGAGGTCGTCGACTGTCAGTAACAATAATGTCCGCTGACTGTCAGTAACAATAATGACATCTGTCACTAAGGTCAACGGAACTGAAACATCGAGCTGTACGTGATGTCACATTAGTGAGGCCTGTAGCCTGCCATTAGGCAGGCACAGAATACCAGCGTTAGACAGTTAACTGTCACGGTATATACTGAGTGTCAGCGATGTTGCCAACCATATGTATAAATAATATAAGATGATTTTTTTTTAATTGTTCTAAGTGTGTATATATGTATATAAGTGTGTTTGTGCATATGTATGTATATTTATATATTTTAAATGTACCTTTGTCAAATGTGTAAATGTAATAATGGTTGTCAATAAATTTCTTTCTTTCTTTCTTTCTTTCTAGATAGGCCGTATGCTTGTTTTGCCACCATAGTAATATAAAAAAAGACTATAATATAAATCCATTAAGTAATGAAACAGGCAACAAAAAAATGTTACTTCTAAATAAAAAGCTATAATAATAACTGGACAATACGGAAAGTTTCCGAGGAATGTGCGGTGCATGAGAATAATTAATTATACTCTCAATAACAAGGGTCCCTAATGAACTATTTCTAAGAAGTTTGAAGGGTCCACTTTTGTTTAGGGTCATTTATAATTAGGCAGGAACCCCGAGCCGAAACATTCGCAAACTATTGTCAGCTAAGTGAACTGCGTTTCGCGAAAGTAGAAGAGTTTGGCCGCTATGGACGTAAAAAATGTGTATACCGTTAGGCGATGTGATTTTGTTGATAAAAATATTATATCAGTATATTTAGTTACAACTACATATTAAACTAGCTGATTCCCGCGGCTTCGCTCGCGTTAATTTAACCCCTTAGGGATGAAATTAATCAAAATCCTTTCTTAGAGGATGCCTACGTCATAGTAGCTTTATGCATGCAAAGTCTCAGCCCGATCGGTTTAAAATTGACAAAGTTTCATATAAACTTTCATCCTCTATTTTATCCCTTTGGGGGTATAATTAATCAAAATCCTTTCTTAGCGGATGCCTACGTCATATCACCTACCTGCATGCCAAATTTCAGCCCGATCCGTCCAGTGGTTTGGGCTGTGCGTTGATAGATCACTACATCAGTCACCTTTGAGTTATATATATTTAGACTAGCTGTGCCCGTGACAGCATCCGCGTGGAATAGTGACCTTGACCAAATAAAGAAGATTTATATGTATAAAGCAAAATGTGAGCATGTGAAATAGCATGTCATATGCCTCTGTCTATCCTATGTGAGATTATCGGTTTGTTCGTATAGTCTTGACGGTTTTTTTTTAAAGAATATTATGTTCGCAGTATGGATAACAACCACTTTCGGAATTACATATATTAATAAATCCACAGGGGTGAAAGGTGCTTGTTGGTAATGTGGATTGATGATTTTATTGCTAGCAATGTACCATGTCACGATGACCTCCACACGGTTCCCCCTGGAAACCATCATGATAAATTCTTGGTAAATTTGTCACGATGGGCTAAGTGAGCTGACCTCATGCTCATCTTATCATCCTCCACTGGTGCCATCCAGCGTAAACCGTTAGCGCAGACAGGTGCACCATTACATTATCATCCACAAAGAACGTAGTAAATCTACAAAAATATAACTCAAAGGTGACTGATATTGTGATCTATCAACGCACACCCCAAACGGGCTGAAATTTGGCATGCAGGTAAATGTTATGACGTAGGCATCCGCTAAGAAAGGATTTTAATTAATTCTACCCCCAAGGGGAAAAAAGTTTGTATGAAACTTTGTCAATTTTAAACTGATCGGGCTGAGACTTTGCATGCATATAGCTACTATGACGTAGGCAATCCCTAAGATAGGATTTTGATAAATTCCACCCCTAAGGGGATAAACTAACGCGAGCGAAGCCGCGGGCAAAAGCTAGTGTATAATATGTATGTATTTACGAAAAAAGTTATCTATGTACATTGTAACAATTATCTAGCACACATAACACAAGCTTCAGCTAGCTTAGCTTAGGTCTAGAAGGCGATGGTGAATTGTCCTGAGATTATTATTATTACCTTCGGAATTACAGTATTAAATCTACAAAGGTGACATTCACTCGAGTAACAACAATAAAATCCAATCAGTACCCAATAAACCAAGAAATTTCGGCTGACCCGACTGGGAGTGAGTCAATTAACCGGTGTTTATGCGATAAGCTGAAATTATTAGGGCGGCGTTCCCGACGGTACGGTAAACTGAATACACGGCGGCGTTCAGGGCCACGCTGAAATAATTGCCGTATAAGGATGGCAGATAAGTGGCAGGGAAACAAAGGTTAGTGGGTACACATGTATACTGGTGTATCTCTTATTTGACGGCCTCGGTGGTCTAACTATTTAGCACCGCGCTTTACTTCCAATGATTCCGGGTACGATTTCTCGCACGGTGCAAACATTTGTATTCATGATTGTTTGTATCAGTCTGGGTGTTGTCTATGTATATGTATGTATGTACAAAAGGTTAGTGGGTACATATACAGGGTTACTGGTAACTCGACGTCTTCCTGTCGGGACGTGATGGGGGAGTTTAAATGCTATAAACTTAACCACCTCTATGTATGACCGAAAATCAATAGTTTTCCAGATATTTGAATTTTAAAGGTTTTTGAAAAAAACTACATTGTAAATCAGGTGTTTACCTACCTTTCTCTTACCCAATACTTCTAACTCCCAGTTTGTATGTAATGCTAAGTTTACATTCAGCCGCTTCCCCTGCCACTCGCGCTGCCGGAAATATTGCCGCGCGACAACTGAGCGAGAGGGCTGAATGTAAAAACACGCTGCCACTCGCGCTGCCAGTCCTTTGACTCGCGCACGAAAACCCGACAATCGAGGGAGCGCCGGGCAGCGCGAGTGGCAGCGCCAATGGCATGGGAAGTGTTTCCTCTCGTGCTGCTCACTTCCCTGCCCACTCGGGCTGAGTGTAAATTGGGCATAAGAGATTGCTTTGATCGATAAGACCGCCTTTTGTACGCATATTTTTTTTTTGTAATTATCTCTTTCATTATGCATGACCCCTTAGAACTGATCCAATTGAGACTCAAAAATAATTTATTCATGTAGGACATTTTAGCCGCTTATGAACGTCATATTTTTATATCATAATTTTTTCCCTACCATACAGTTCAGTATATTTTAGATTACTTTTTTTAAAAAACCAGCCTATTTGCAATGTACATATATTTATATAAGTGTCTATGTCTAACATTAAATGAAAATCCCGTGCATGAACAACTATTGCCATGCACGCTCGTCATTCAAGTAATCGTTTAGTGAATGCTCAGTAAATATGATTTAACAGATGTTTTGAATTTATTTAAGGGTAATTAGAATATCCTTTGGTATCTTATTGAAAATTGTTAGACCTATTCCTATAAAAGACCTATTGAGTTTTTCTAAACGTTACTACGGGACTGCAATTTTGTTTCTAAATATGCTTACGCATGAGGTAGCATGTGCTGGTGGTCTATTCTCCCAAATATGAATTTAAAACTGAATCTGTATTATTGTAAACATGTACAACATTTATTTGAAAAGAATATGAGCTGAGTTTCTTGTTAGTTCTTCTCATCTGGAAATCATTCCTGACGGTAGATTTGACATATCATAAGAGTCTGTAATAGACCTACATGAATAAAGATATTTTGAACAGAAATATTGTCTTAATATACAAACACCCAACCTTGTTCGCAGATATGGATATTCGGAGACGTGTGGTGCTCCGTGTGGTTAGCAGTGGACGTTTGGATGTGCACAGCCTCGATCCTGAACCTGTGCGCCATCTCATTAGACCGCTACGTGGCTGTCACCAGGCCCGTCAGCTACCCTAGCATTATGAGCAGGAAGAGGGCGAAAGCGCTGATCGCTGGACTCTGGGTCTTGTCTTTTGTGATTTGTTTCCCTCCGCTGGTCGGCTGGAAGGATAAAAAGGTACCGTATTTATATTCATATGCATGTAGTAAAAAATGGTTATTTCAATATTACAAACAGACACTGCAATTTTATTTATATGTATAGATGTATAGATATACAGGGTGTAAGGGTTGGCAAAACAAAAACAGCTGATTCAGATGAATGTTGTTTTGTCGCCGCGCAATGTAATTTTACAAGCGGGGTATCGCGCGCGGTGATAACTCAGAACATGGGTACGTTGCAAAACATTATTAATACGTGAATAACAGTTGGTAATCTGATCGGATACTAACCATTCAACAGTACATACTGGTGTCTATTTAGTCGTGAACGGTGCTTGTAGGGACTTGTCTGCTTTAAGAACCAGGACTGATTCATTTTGTTGCTGAAGTAACTATTTCTTTTTTTACAAGCATATACCGAAACTAGGCCTATGCACAACAAAATCAGGAGATAAATTTGAGGGAACTATAGACTTATATCTATTTTGCCAGTTCTAAGTAAGGTGTTGGAAAAGATAATGTTAAATCAAATGTTACAATACTTCAGGGTTAACGGACTGCTTCACAGTCAGCAATATGGTTTCACCACCGGCAAGTCTACCTCTGACGCAGGTGTAGCGCTAATGACACATATTTTCGAATCATGGGTGAAGTCACAGGATGCACTTGGAATTTTTTTGTGACCTATCAAAGGCATTTGATTGCGTGGATCATAAAACGCTTTTGTACAAGCTCGAACATTATGGTATAAGAGATAATGATCTAAAATTAATGAGAACTTATTTAGAGGATAGGATCCAAACTGTAGATATTGACGGTGTAAAATCTAAGGGAGCTAATACTAAGATGGGCGTTCCACAAGGGTCAATCTTAGGCCCCTTTCTCTTTTTAATCTACATAAATGACCTTCCCTTTATAGTAGAGAAAATTGCAGATATAGTGCTGTTTACGGATGATACTTCGTTAGTGTTTAAAATAGGACAAAAATCGGCAGAATTTGCCAAACTGAAGAGGAAACACCACTACACATCGTATGTGGTTGTAGCCCACTCATGCATAAACGAAATATCTCCTTTGGAAAGTTTACACTCTATCCTGAGGAAATAAAAACCATCGCTCCTAAGAATATCCTTCAATTCTTGTCCGTGACAGGTCCAGGTAGCGAATTCTGAAAAAGGGCGAGCACAATAGATCTATCTATGTAGGTCGCTGTGCTACAACTGCTAGTCACCTGACAATGGCTCAAACAACCCAAGAAAAAAAAACTATTTATTTACTTATTAAACTATTAAGTCCACTTTGCAAAAAAAATACTATAAAATAAAAATGCAATGTTGAACAATATTTATTTAGAACAACATGCAAGTTTCTTGCTCATTCTTCTTGTAATGAGTCTGCGTTCCGAATGAGTTACAGAATAATAAATGTATGACGTATTCAAAAGTGCTTATATCAAGTCCTTTTATTTAACTCTGACTCTCATTCGATAAACAGACTCATCAAAAGAAGAATAATTCAAATATTCAGAATTACATTTTTTAAGAAGTTTATTTGTATACATACTGCCAAATATCAATGTTGTTACATCATTACATAGTACATATAAAACAAAGTCGCTGTCGCTGCCTGTCCGTCCCAATGTATGCTTCAATCTTTAAAACTACGCAACAAATTTTGAAGCAATTTCTTTAATTAGATAGAGTGATTCAAGAGGCAGGTTTATATATGTAATACATGTACACCCGCTCCAAGCCAGGGAGAGTAGCTAGTCATTACATAGTATGAAACAAACTCGCTATCGCTGTCTGTCCGTCCCTATGTATACTTAAATCTTTAAAACTACGCAACGGATATTGAAGCGATTTCTTTTAATTCATAGAGTGATTCAAGAGGAAGGTTTATTATATATAATACATATACACCCGTGCAAAGCCGGAGCGAGTAGCTAGTGTCATATAAAACAACAATTATAAAATTATGAATTTGACATTTATTAATCTTAAAGAGACAAATAACAATGAGTCAGTTAGTTAAATAATGCCATCTCTCTTGTAAAAGCCCGACGAAGCTGAAACAAAAGACGGCTGGACTCCAAATCCACCGTGCCCCTGGACTTGCGAGCTGACCAACGATGCTGGATACGTGGTATATTCAGCTCTTGGCTCCTTCTACATCCCCATGTTCGTGATGCTCTTCTTCTACTGGAGGATCTACAAGGCAGCTGTGAGAACTACTAAGGCTATCAACCAGGGCTTCAGAACTACGAAAGGTAAGATGTATGTTTAGTGGTGAGGTGAGTAGTGAAATTACAGGGATAATATCTTAGTTCTCCAGAAGCTCAACCCATGAGTGATATAATCATATGTAATAAAACAATACAGTTAATTTAAATATATAACTCAAAGGTGACTGACATAGTGATCTGTCAATGCACAGCCCAAACCACTGGACGGATCGGGCTGAAATTTGACATGCAGGTAGATGTTATAATGTAGGCATCCGCTAAGAAAGGATTTTGATAAATTCCACCCCCTAAGGGGATAAATTAACGCAAGCGAAGCCGCAGGCAAAAGCTAGTTTAAGATAAGATTTGGATTTAAAAGAATCTGTAAATATGTACACAAATACGAGCTGAGTTTCTTGTCAGTTCTTCTCATTTCGAAATCATTCCGAACTGACGGTAGATTTGACATATCATAAGATTCTGTAATAGACCTACGTGAATTATGATAGTGATATTTTGAATTTGAATTTGATATTTTTATATAACTTTTGTATGTCACTTTGCGTGCCGTATTCACATATAAATACTATAATTGTATTTTTTTTAAACCATGACAGTTTATACAGCGACATCTAGACCCAAAGCTAATATGCAGAGCTTGTGTTATGGGTACTAGACTACTGATATTAATAAATCGTTTTTTTTTTATAAATGCTTACATACCGACACAAGCAATAATACTCATAAATACTATTTTTTCTACTAATGTTCGTATCGTGCGAGGAATCGAACCTGCGATCGTCGGAAGTAAAGCGGAGACCCGACAATTGACAGCATGTTAGAATATGACAAAGTATCTCTCTAGCGCCTACTATATTTAATTTAATATATGAAATATATATATATTTATAGAAAATATACAGTATCAAGATAAGCGAAAAATAAATTGTCTGCAAATCAATCACAGCTTCAGATAGAACGAGATAGCAATATCCTGCATCCTGCAGTAGATTCGTATTCTGCTTCTTTTTATATATAGAAACTTGTTGAAGTACAATGGTAGTCATTTCCCTGTAATAACAAAATAAATATATTTATATAATAATTGAAAATTCTTATTGCGCTTAAATATATTTTTAGATATTAGAAATAATGTTAACAAAGGCGGACTTATCTCTAAAAGAGATCTCTTCCAGTCAACCCAATAGAGCGTGGCATAGGAAGTGTTGAGTGGGTCAAATTGTGCAAATAATAAATTCTTGTGTTAATGTAAAAAAATAAACACTTTTTTAATGTTATTCCAAATAAACACTTCTTATTCCAGGAAAAGGCATGGGAAATCGTTTCGATGATAACCGGTTAACGCTACGAATACACCGGGGCCGGGGATCAGCTAGGCCCCACGGATCACCGCTGTCGACAGCATCCAATCACTCAACTAGTACTTCGCTCAGCGCGTCTCCCGAGAGACTGAGAAGGTGAGCGTCATCCTCGACCCATTTTCGTGAATTTCTTAGTCTTTGCTCGGAAATTTTAAAAATATTTAAAAGAATAAATAATTACGTATTCGAAATTTAAATTGAAACTGATGATAAGGCGCGAAAATTTAATATGTAACTTCAGTCAAAGAAGACAAAAAATGAAAAATTATTCGAAATTATAAATAATTGTGTATTCGAAATTTAAATTGAAACTGACAATAAGGCGCGAAAATTTAATGCGTAATATTAAACCTACAGCCAAAGAGAAAAGAAGAAAGGGAAAAATAATCCGTAATTTTGAATTTCGAATGGTTAGCCCGCCAAAAACAAATAGTTGTTTCAATTCTAGAAAAGAACAGCCATTAAATTTCTGTTTCAGTTGTCAGCCCCGAATATATAACTTTATTTGGACCAAACTAGTTATTTAGTCTGTGCTTGCTAGAATTGTATTTATGGTTTTTAGGAAAAAGGAAACATACATTACATGTATTCATATTCATTCTTCTTTCCACTATATTTGTCAAAAGACAAGTATAGTGGAAATATGAATGGAATTGTGGCGGAATCTTCTATGGAACATGGCCATAGACGAACTAAAGAATGTTTAAAAGTTTAAACTTTGCCCGACTTTTACGTGCTCGATTTAGTGCGGAAAAGCCAGCGCGCGTAAACGCGAGGGATGACATTTTCCGACTATTTTTGTGTTAACTCTTTCGCGCGTAATAGCGCGTGTGTATGATAACACTTTACATACTTTTTTTACATTTTATTTTTTATTCCGCAGATTTTATTTTCCAAAGACACGTTTAAAATTTATAAATATTCACTAACTCTATAATTAAGTCTTTGCTCAGATGCCCGCCATTTTGTTTCATTTTCAAAAGGCGCCAATGCACGATGACGGCGCGCACGGTCTTTCTCGTTCTTTTTGTCTACATTTACATGCATATTCTTTCCTACACGAAATTCTATTTGCGCGTAAAAAGCGCACGTTTAAATGCAGCTATTGCAAAGTATCAGTAGTACAACGGATGCCACGTAATATCGTGATTTTCACGTATATAACTTCCAGCCGCTTGTGTTTCTGACAGGTCGGGATCGAATGGCCGATGTAACTTTGAACTGACGTTCGTACATAGTTTTTAAAAATCAAAACACATCAAACTGCGCTGTTTCAAGGTTATTTGGTCACATCACTACAAAAACAAAGTTGACATAACCTTGTAACAGGGAAGTTTAATGTAGTTTGACTTTTAAAAACTGTTGTTTTTAGAATTTAGTACAGCCCAAAATTAAAACGTTTATTGTAAGTTGGAATAATTATTAAATTTTTAATGTTATCACTCGTTAATCAGTAATCATGTGTCCTTTCATCATAGAAATCTCGGTTACCACTTGTAACTAATTGGGTGGTCAGCTTATTTTGCCATTTCATTTGAATAAATAAAATGACAGTAGAATTTGATAAAATGAGTACATATTATTATATTATCTTTATTAAGTGTGCTTTTCTTATAATAAAGAGTATAATATATATTGAATAACTTAAGACAAAATGAAGCAACTTTGTAACTTAATAAAACTGAAATAAATTAATCAACGGTTGAACAACTCCGTCGTGAGGAAGCATTCCCTTGATTGCATTCTTATTCTTGCTAATTAATTTTTAACTTTATTACCTACTTTGTCGTTGTAACTTTGCAGTAGCTTCAGATACGATACAAAACGATTATCCGTATTAAAAATCGTTTAAACTTCACGAGAACAGGACTAGAGCATTTGAAACGGTTACTACAGTTTTTTTTACCAGTTTTCGTTACTTGCGTTATTTCTATTTGCATTATTTATATTATTAACCGGGTCTTAACACGAATTTTATAGCTGTGATCACGGCTAGTGCAACCTAGTCGAAACGTCGAGAGTTAAGACTCGGTCTTGGAAATACCTTTAGTTGCCATAATATTATTCTTGTTAAAACCCGATTAATAATATAAATATGAAAGTTTACAAATAACTATTTAAATTTCCAGGGAAAAAATATTAATACAAAATACTTGAGTTGCATAAATGTTGTAACACGAATAAATAATAATAGAATTTGTACATAGAATTTCTTTGGTTTTATAGGTTTAGTTTTTTTTATTGTTTTTGTGCTTATTTGTGAGTTGAGGATCTTGTTGTGTAATAAACATCGGAGATTCTTGGCGTTTTTTGGTGCGTATTGCGATCGTTAGCGAATATTTTAATCTGAATGTTTAAAGGCTGTCGTTTTGTCTCTGGCCCGCTGAAACCCCAACGTTGCGATGTTACAATCTTAAATTATATTTTGAGTCACACATTTATTATTTATAGTATAACTATCTACTCGCCCCGGCTTCGCCCGAGTGTAAATATAAACCTTCCTCTTGAATCACATAATCTATTAAAAGAAACCCCTTCAAAATCCATTGCGTAGTTTTAAATATTTAAGCATACATAGGGACGGACAGACAGCGACAGCGACTTTATTTTATACTATGTAATGATAATGATAATAATAATTTATTACAATCTTAGGTTATGTTACATAGTTAAATTGTACATAAGTGTAAATTCAGTTTAAACATACGAGTGTAATTGTGTCATATGAACTAGTATAAAATTATACTGTAATTACAGGCACTCAAGCGCTCGTCGTGCTCACGAAAAGGTGAAAATATCCGTCTCGTATCCATCGTCCGAGCAGATCTGTCCGGCCATAGAGAATTCTAGATCGCCGAGCCGCTCGCCGAGCCCCTCCCTCTACGCTGTACATTATGAAAGAGACGGAAGAGAGCTGACTGAAAGCAGGTTGAGGGTCCGACCACCGCACCACTTGGCTCCGACGCCGCTGTACGACGATTATGACGACAAGCCGAGGACGACCAGGCGGATGGGCAAGCGGAATATAAAAGCGCAGGTGATTATGTAATTTGTCATCATTATCATCAGCCCATTGCAGTCCACTGCTGGACATAGACCTTTCCTAAGGCACGCCACTGGGCACGATCTTCAGCCCTTCTCATCCAGTTACTACCCGCAACCCTACGTATGTCGTCGCTCCACCTAGCTGCGGGGCGTCCTACACTACGTTTGCCAATTCGCGGTTTCCACTCTAGAACACGTCTACTCCAGCGAGCATCGGTGCTGCGATAGATATGACCAGCCCACTGCCACTTCAACGTATAGCTATGAAGAGCTGTGTCGGTTACCTTAATTCTCTGCCAAATTACTTCGTTTCGGATTTTATTCCTCAGAGAAACTCCAAGCATAGCTCTTTCCATAGTTAGTTGAGCGACTTGTACAATGTAAAATTGTATTGTAATTTGTCAGTAATGACTTACGGCACAGAGTGGTCGCTAACTATGTGCCTCATAAATAAGCTCAAAGTCACTCAGAGGGCAATAGAGAAGGCTATGCTCGGAGTTTATCTTTATGATCGTATAAGAAATGAGAAGATCTGCAGAAGAATCAGAGTGACCGGCATAGCCCGAAGAATTGCGAAACTGAAGTGTCAATGAGCAGGGCATATAGCTAGGACAGATCCATTGGGGTAGTTAAGTCCTCGAGACTACGAACCGGAAGACGCAGCGTGGGAAGGCCTCCAGCAAGGTGGACCGACAATCTGGTCAAGATCGCTGGAATACATTGGATGCGTGCAGTGCAGGACCGATCTTCGTGGAAATTTTTAGGGGAGGCCTTTGTTTTCTGGGCTGAAATTATGATGAATGATGATTGTATTTGTAAAAAAATACTATCAAAAATAGCAAATCTTGTAAATATATAATAAGTAACTTTAAATAACATTACTTTTATCTATACATAGATTTAATTCGGAATATTCTTAAGTATCTTTGAGGAAAACACCTTTAATTATGACACCGCGAAAAAAAATAAAAATACATTGAGAGATAAATCGTCTGAATAAAGAAATTTATCGCCTCTCTTAAGAAGATTACGAGACGGAAAAAATGGATAGCACAAAACACAAACAAGAAATCACCTTGAATTTTTAGCGTTGCAATTTCTCTGATTAAGATGAACGTAGATAGAATTTGGGGAATAGAACATGAATTTGGTCAAATACTGACTTATTGTTGGTTACTTGATGATTTTAAAAGATTCGTGTGTTTGTAATATAATAATAATGTCCCTGGACATTTCACACAGCGCCATCTAGTCCCAATCTAAGCACAGTTTGGGTTATGGGTACTTGACTTCTGATATTTTCTTTGGAAAAATTACGGGATCTGACCTTTTATTTATTTTCATTGTACGTATAAATAATGACCGCGTCAAATATAACCCGTTACCACACAGCGCCATCTAGACCCAAGTTAAGCTAGCTAAAGCTTGTGTTACGAGTGCTAGATACCTGATACAAATACATAGACATTTTCTCGTAAATCCATACATAATTTACATAAAGAACACCCAGACTGATACCAACAATCATACTCATGAACACAAATGTTGGTACCGTGCGGGGAATCCAACCCGCGACCATCGGAAGTAGTGTGGTGTGCTAAACCACTAGATCAACGAGGCTTTCATAAAGTCATTTGTATGTAATGGAATAGCAAATAAGACGCTCTATCTGATAATCTGATGCTATATCTGAAGAGCAACACGCAAGTTTCTTGCTAGTTCTTCTTGTGATCAGAAAGCTTTCCCAAATGAGCGGTAGATTAAAAAAAATGTGATGACTATTAAAAAGTGCTTCTGTGTAAGTTTCTTTGAATAAATGATTTTCTATTCTATTCTATCAGATTGTAATCAATCATCGCCTATGTACATGAACAGCACTATCCACATTAACTTATCACTTGACATCGTGATACCACTGTGTGTTCATTTCTAACGCACCTAATTATCAATTTTGTTTTTCTTTCGACATCAACGTTTCTATCACCAGAGAGCTAGAGAAATGTACTTTTTTTATACTACGATGGTAAATGGTTGCCGTACCCTATGGACGCCTTAGGATACTAAAGCAGACATTGCGATTTCGGGACTCCGGCAATAGCCGCTTCGTCGGGATACCTTGGGGGTTTTAGTGAGTAGGAGTCTAACAGTACCCGCTTACCTTTCCTGGGGTAAGCGAGTCTCCATGAGGAATTTTCGCCAAAGCCTATTAGCGCTTTTAACATTTGGAGTGTTATAAGTACGTTATCGACTCTAGAGAAACCGTAATATACCTTTCTTGAAATACCCCAATATGTGAAATTACAAGGATTGGATAAAAATTATTGGTTTAAATATAATATCGCTTTATAAAGTTTAAAAATATCAGCTTCTAATGCAACTTTAAAGACATCCACAGTGATATACAAAAAATCTAAATTTATCGTCTTTCTTTCCAGGTGAAGCGCTTCAGGATGGAGACCAAGGCAGCCAAGACCCTCGGCATCATAGTCGGTGGTTTCGTCTTCTGTTGGCTTCCATTCTTCAGCGTGTACGTCGTGAGAGCCTTCTGCGGGGAATGTGTAACGCCTATAGTCTTCTCAGTTCTCTTCTGGCTGGGTTACTGCAATTCTGCTATTAACCCACTCATATATGCACTCTTCTCTAAGGACTTCAGGTAGTTACACTATTTTTTATTTGAAATAGCAAACTGGACAAGTCTGTTCGGTTATTGATTAGATTATTTCCCTTTGACAAAAATGCTATAGCATATGCTGGTAGTCACCATTTCAACAATTTAAAAATGAATATGTATTATGGACATATAATTTGAAAAGAATCGTGTTAAAGTTTTTTGTCAGTTCTTCTTAGCTCGAAAGCAATTGGAACTAATGGTAGATTTCACATATCATAAGAGTCTGTAATAGAGCCATCCGAATAAAGATATTTTGATTTACAGCTGACAGCGCTCCTGATCATAAGTAATGACAACTGTCGCCTATATACATTCATGACAACACCATTTGTCCTTTCATTTATATATATTATACATATGTTAACACAGTAGTAACAAATCTGCTTTGACTAGTACAAAGCTCAGTACCACAGGCGCCATCCTCAACAACTACTGATTGACGCCAAAAGTCTATCACTATAGACCACTAAGAAGCACCGTTCATCACGCGACAAATTTTATCACCAATCAAAAGGGTGAATACTCCACCCCTACATAATTATTACAATAAACGCTCCCTGAGAAAAGGTGAAAACACGAGGTTCTTTTATAATAAAAATAGTTGGCGCTGTGTAAATTGTACTGACACATTACCATTACCCTTGTTCTGTGAACAGGTTCGCGTTCAAGCGCATAATTTGCGCGTGCTTCTGCGCGAGCGGTGGGCCGCGGCGCGAGTCCGACGGGGACGGGTCTCGGCGAGCGCGCCCCACGCACTCGCACTCGCTCGACGAACACGACGCGCCCCCGCTCGCCGCCGACAGGTCAGTGAACTCACCTCACTACTAGTTACAGACATGGAGTAGCTAGAGATTGAACGAAGGAAAGAAAATACACATTAGCTGCCTTTACATATATGAATTTTCAAGCGTTGATAGAGGTTCAAGCAGAATAGAATGTGCATGTAAATGTATACAAAGAAAACGAGAAAGACCGCGCGCGCAAACAGTGAACGCTTTCCCTCGCACGATGCTAACATTTATATTTATGACTATGTTTGTTCGTATTTGTGTTTTATGCATATGTATTTATAAAAAAAACTAAACTAAGAAAAAACTAAGAAATTTGTATCAATTCGTCGATTAAATAGAAAAATGACAGTATTCAAAATGTACATTTTTTGCCTTATCTCGTAGTCGATTGTCTTGTAGAATAATTTAAATAAATTTATAAACTTTAAATGATCGCATTTACGACTTGTACTAGTACACATAACACAAACTTTACTTAGGTCTGCATAACTAAATAACACTTTGTGTTGTTTCCAGGGATACTATTGTCAATAGTTTTACACCCACAATACTCATGTTAATATAATGTTAAAGAAGAGAGGAATTTTTAGTAACAGGTGTTAGTAGTAAAATAGAAAATCACTGCTAAATGTTGTTTTTCTTTCTTTCTCTCTTCTAGCAAAGGTTTCTAAAGCCATACAGCTCAAATTTAAGTGATTATTTTTCAGGTGACGTCAAACAATGCGACGGCAGAACCCGCAGTTCCAGTCGACCGTCGCATGTGTTTAGCTGGGACGAAACGGATTACACGTGTAACTAGTTGTAACAGCATCGTTACAATTATAGCCGGTATATAATAAATTAATGAAATAACCGTTTTGTATAATAAACCTGTTCGTCAGTGATGTTTGTAATTATGTAAACGGTGCACAGAATTAATTATATATAGATTCACTTTATTAAATTGATGTGCAGAATAGAATTTGTAATGTTTAATTTTAATGTGAGTGCTTTTCTGTAACGAGTGTTACCGCGAAACTAAAAGCCACCGAAATAGTGCTCAATGTTCTCACAGTCTAAAGGAGGTGGTAACGATCGTATCAATAAAAAATATGAATAACTATATATTTTTAATTACCTAATTATACTTAAAATAAATGAATATTCAAAACGAATATTACGATTGTACCTACCGAAAAGTGCTCATGTTTTAAAGTAATTATTTAATGATAAGTGAATTATTTATTGAAAAGACTGTCTAAACTAAATTATATAACAATACAATAACAATGTATTATATTAGATAGCTAATTGTTGTTAACCACAGAGGAACTTTAAAATAATAATAGAAATAACAAATACGTAAACCTATACAATAGTCAAATATAACGTATGTGCATACTAAACAGAGTGCAAGTCGAAATTTAATGAGGATTTGGAAGTATAATTTAGCATTTTGTAATATTTTAATAGGAACGTGTTTATGGTATATTTCGCTGTAAAAATTAACTCAATGTGTAAATGACAAAATAACTAGTTATCTCGTTACAACGAAAAACCGTTGTAACGAGTCATAATTAAAACTAAATATGTCAATAAGACTACTCTTTATAGTAAACTTACTGTTATTTGCAAAATGCTATTTTCTAAAATTAGATATATATCTTGAGCATTTTCTATTTGTAGATAAGCTAGAGCCCTCTAAGGCTAAAATCTAGATAACTTCATGTCCTTCCTAATATTCCTACCTAGAAATTATATTAATATTAAAAATCTTTATCTCCCATTTCTAGTTATATCATTACCTAATACTCCCCTATAATTACAATAGTCAGTGTGATATTAGAATACGTTTTAACCATTTCCAACGTCGTCATATTAAGAATTGATAAAAAGCAATGTAAAATTGATAATGCTTAAGCTTTTTTAAGTGTAACAACATTGTTTTATTTATTTTCGTTTCCATTACTGCTTATAACGAAAGTTGAAGTATTGTAATGAATTTAAAATGCAGTTAATTAGATCTGTTATTTATTAAAGTAGGTTGCAAGTGATTTATTTATTAAAGTTAAGTTATTTATAGTTTAAAATCAATGAAAACATTATTTATTATGTTTTATGTAATATAGACGAACTCTGATGTGGAATTGGTGGTAGACAGTGCCTCGTTTCGAATATGTACTGTTAAAATAGCTCTCATGTACTTGGGTCGGTGGATATCAACTCTGTTGGTAGATTACGGTCTAATTTTTATTTAAAACTACTGTTTTTTTTTAATATTTAGACTATAGTAAATTAAAGTTTAGTCATCGCTGCAGATTTGCAGCAGGTTAAGTACTTAAAATCTAAAAGTAAAGTAAAGCAAGAATCGTTACTCAAAATTATAATTGTGTTATATCTAATGCTGAATCATGCCTATATGACATATATAGATTATTATACAACCTAACCTTTGTACTTTCTTATAGTCTGTATGTATTTGCCATTAAATTATAAAACAACGTAGACAAACGTATGTTGTGTTGAAGAAGAAACTCCGCCGGTCAAATGCCAGTATTCTAAAGACATAAAAATGATTAATTAGACATAATTACCTATTTAAATGTCATTCGATCATTACCTGCTATTATTAACATGGTATTATTGATAAATTATTTATTGAATTAATTTTAATATCACTGGCAGTGAAATTATGACATCAACTCTGAAATACAATGGTGTTATTAGAGTAATTTATGTTAATTCACAATCAAAATCCGTTCACTCGACAGAATTATAGATGATTTCTATCTTCTGTAATTTTGTAAAGTAAAAACGGTAATTCAGTCTTTCATTAGTAAATTAAAGTAGTAATTTTTAATCCAAACCTTCATTGAAACGAAATATTTTCTTTAGAAAGTTTACACTCGATCCTGAGGAGGTAAAAACCATCGCTCCTAAGAATATCCTTCAATTATTCGGGTCTAGGTAGATATCTCTGAAAAAGGGCGAGCACAATAGATCTATGTAGGTAGCGGTGCTACAGGTCCAAGTAACGGACAGTAACCCAAACCCATCTATTAAAAAAATACATTAAAAAACAGTAATTTTGTTTTTTAAAAAGCAACTGCCAAAAATGAGCTTATTAACTATCGTTATTGTTTCATTCAAAATTACCCTAAAAGAACTAGGACGAGCTTCGGGTTGTGAGTGAATAACCGAATTTATTAAGAGAGTGATAACCACAATGGTGCCCATCACTAGTCTAAACGGACGGGTATCCTAATATTAGTTATTGTATCAAAGATCTCGACGTTCCTCAAATTTATTCGATTGTGTATTCGATGTTTTAACATATTCGTTAGTCGAGTGTTGTATTATGTGTGGACGATATAAATATTATGTATAAAATATACGAGATGTTACTTAAAAAAGCGTTTTATTTAGACTAATAAGACATAACCTGTACTAGCTGCACTCGCGGTTTCACCCGTATGAAATTAATAGCTTTTGTGTTATTCTGATATATAAGCTATATTACTTTAAAGTTTCAGCAAAATCCGTGTAGTAGTTTGTACATGAAAGAATAAGAAACATCCATCCATATTCACAAATTTTCGCGTTTAAAATATTAGTAATATTCTGTTTTAACGCAGGATAATAACAGATAGGTATATGAACTATCAAGTTCATTATGCGATTTGTAAATAATTATATAAATAAAATATGTAGATAGCATTTTATTGTGGATGTTACCTTTAAGTGGAAAGCCAAAATTAGTGTTAAAAAAGTTTAGTATCATTTTAACATTATATTACGCAAGTTGTATTAAGCGTTAAAAACGCTTATTTAAGTACAAGCGCGTTTATCACAGCTCTAGCATACCTGTCACTCAATCCCGTCGTTGAATTTTCCTTCATTCAATGCGAGCGACGAATGAGAAAGCCGATATATTTCGCTCGCTCATTCTCGACTGTACGTAATCAAAATGAAATCATTCATTATCATTCAGTTTATTATACGCTCTCTCATAGAGAGTTTGTCTTATTTGAGGCTCGTTGTGTTCGTAAATTACTGTTGATTTCATAAATTATTAAAATTTAAATAAGTTTATTGTTATAAGTGTGTGTTGTAGAAGATATTATGAACAATAAAATGTATTTTGGAGGTGTGGAAGGGTGAGTAGAGGTTATTCCTATTTATTTCCGCACACAAAACCTAGATTACAACTTCGTTGAAAACTCGAAAGTCGAAAGGTTTGCCTTGACTCATAAATTCCTAATTCTTTCGTAACAATTAATTATTAATACGTTTATATATTATTTAAATAAATTACAATAATATAATTATTAAATTTATACGTTATTTTACATTAGTACGATTGTTTTATTTGCTTAATTTTAATGATATTTGTAAATACACTCATCACTTCTAATAATGTTTATTCTGGTATTTTGGTATGTACATAGAACCATGATCTACCTATTTGACATAAAGTGAATAATAATATCTACAGACAAACAAATGTACTAAATATATATAGAGGACAAATTAACTTGAACAATGGAAACTTGAAATATAAATAATTTAAGTATGTAATGTTTTTTTTATGGATTAACATGAACTAGTGCATTCACCTGAGTTGACGTTATTTTTATTAGGGATGATAATGGAATGTTGCACCTGTCTGCGCTTACGGTTTACACTGGCGGGGCTCCAGTGGGGGATGATAAGATGAATATGAGGTCAGGTCAGTTAGCCCATTGTGACAAATTCAACAAGAATTTATCACGATGGTTCCATTAAAAAAACTGTTAGGGGTGGGGAGAAAGGCAATTGTCAGTAATGTCGACTGATGACCCTATAGCAATGCCCCATGTTAGGTTGACCTCCACGCAGTACCCACAGGAAAGCATCATGATAAATTACCTGTGAATTTGTCACGATGGGCTAACTGATCTGACCTCATGCTCATCTTGTCATCCTCCACTGGTGCCCCGCCAGCGACAACCGTTAGCGCAGGCGGGTGCACTATTCCATTATCATCCGTAAGAGCAACCGCCAAGGAGCTTGCTTTGAAGCTGGACTTCGGTTGTAGCATGAGTGCCATCCATAAAAAAAAACCTAGCTCAATTTTTTTCTTTTTTGGTTCGTTTTTCCCATTTTAGGGAAAGGCAAAAGGACTCAGCCCATACAGCCATTGTCTTCAGTAATATTATCTTATATTTTTCATTATCTCCCATTAAAAACTGACGTACGCGGACGCTTTTTACAAAAAGTCTAGTCTCGGTAAACACGTTTCACGTTTATACGCTTAGTTAGTCCATACTTATGATTATGACTAAACTAAAAAACAAATTACTAACGGTATTATTGTATTACTACGGTATAAAACTCACGTACTTGTAATTACGTATGCACGTGTTTATATATATGTTAACCAATAGGAGAGCTGGAAACATACGGCTCGGCTGACACGCCGACGGAATCATCATCATTTAAATATATACTTTATATGTATAATAACATAAAGTCAGTTATGCGTATGCGAAGTTTTGAGGCATTCAAAGAATGTTATGACGTTTACCTTGAACCATTGCATTGAATTTCAATTGAAATATATCTAAAATGCATAATACATTTATGTTTTGTTGTTATCTTTTTTTTATACTATAACTAGTTACCCATCCCGGCTTCGCACGGGTGTACATGTATTATACATATAAACCTTCCTCTTGAATCACTATCTATTAAAACCGTTTCAAAATCCGTTGCGTAGTCCCCCTCCGATCGATCCCCCGTCAAATCAAACGGGGATCGATATTACGACGGCCTGAGCCGAGTTCGAACCCCTAGTGGTGCCCTCAGACTAAAGTCGTATCCGTCAAACGGGACTTGGCCTTCAGCCGCTCCATAAGTCCTTCCGCGGGTTTGGAGTGCCATCTGCACTCGCTCCTAACCGTCCAGTGAAGCTGTAAAGGCCAGCTGCGGCCAACAGCATTACAGTAGTCCGAAAAAAAAACCGTTGCGTAGTTTTAAAGATTTAAGCATACACAGGGACAGACAGCGAAGCGACTTTGTTTTATACTATGTAATGATGTCAACTCTGCTATTTGGCAGTTTGTATTCACACATAAAAATGCAATTTTTAATAACATTTATTTAGATACCAAGTTATGTGTCTGGATCCTCCTCTCGTCCTGGCACGGCAGCAACAGGCGGCAATTTTAAAATGGCAAAAATACACAAATATGGAGAGATCGTATTGATTTCTGTCATTTGCCGCAGAGACGCTGGGCTCTTGGAGCACAGAAGCTTAATTGTTTTTGACAAATATTTCAACTCATCGAGGTTACTTGTGACCCGAGAGCTGGTAGCTACTTTGCCCAGTTCTCAGGGGCACGCCAGTATCTTGGGTACGTTGCACAGTGGGAACTTTGACTCATTTTCGTCTCATAAATCTATAACTTCTGTATTAATAAAGATATGTACATGATTTTTTTTCCTGATAATCTTAAATATATATACTTTTAAATAATGTATGCTTTGTGAGTAAAAAAATATTTCTAATAGTTATAAATAATTTAGGAATACAAGAAATATAGAATTTGTAGACTTACATTTATGTCCTAAGAAGTTTATACAGAAATAAGTAAAAGTATCAGAGTAAAAAACAAAAATTCTTATAAAGATAGCTTACAAGTCACTCAAGAGCTCCTTTTCTTCATCAAAAAGTACTAAATATTTTTAATTGGAAGGTTTTCTTAAACTTGTTATGTATGGGTCAGAGGTACATAAAAATGCGTGTAGAACATCTTTGTTAGAGGCTACCCTCGTACATTGTCTTGCAAGATGAAGCCTGAACTGTTTATAGTCTTTTTTCCGTGACTCTTGAGCATCTTCTGAAAGTTGCCCAAAAGGCAAGACAGAAAAGTAATGTATCACTCGTTCACATTTCATTTCATAACATAAAGCATTTTTATTAATTCCTCATATATACTAGTAATTTCTGATGTGCAATGATAATTTTGGAAAAATCTTGTGGCTGTATTGCCGTCATTAGTGTTGCCACTAACTTGCTTCGGCTTATCTATATTTAATCCAAGTTCTTCTCTGAACCTTCTTTGTACATAAGCCTTCTTTTGCTTTTTTAAATTTTTATTTTCTGTTGTTGTGGCAGATAATTTTTATTGATTTGTATTTTGTTTGTAAGATAAATGTAAAATAAGTTCCACGAATGCAAAGTTGAAAGGCCATATTGATAGGAAGTTTCATCGACAGGTTTATTTTGTACTTTTTCTAAATTGTTCATCTCTGTGGGTTTTGCACTGCAAATGGTACATACATTTGATTTCTGGTTTAACGTTAGTAATTTCTATACATAATTTTGGCGGATAGCACGATTCTTTAGTTTCACGAATCAACCTGTATGATGGAAACAATAAGTAATTCTTTACTATCAAACAACTCCTCATATTTTCGTACTGTGCCTTGTTCAGATCCAATTTTATGAAAATGCTAAGAGCTTAATGTTTTGAATACGCTGTTATATGTGCCGGTTCATTAATAAGATTATTCATTAAGATTGCTCAATTCATCTAGTTTTCTGTCGTCAATGCTCGTAAAATATCAATGATGAAACCCTTAAACCCTGTACATATGTACAGGGTTTAAGGGTTTCACCATTGACTCATATGAGTTCAGTATGAAGTCCACAGGTATCAAGCAAGCCTTGTTTTTCCCTTTCTTTATCCGAACTGTCTTCGTACGTTTTAGAAGGTCTTCCTCTTTTCTCTGTCGAAGTAGGAGGTTCAGCTTCGCATGTAGTTTTTTCTAGATTTACAGTGAAAATATCATCCTATCAATTGCTATTTTATTTAAAAACGTTCTTTCTTTCTACCACATTTCGTATAGCGTTGACGAAACTGAGTTATGAAGGACTTCTGAATACTTGCGATAATTTTTGCTATATTCGGATCTGAAGATTCGGTAAAATTATTTCGTAGTTTGATATAGAATCAACATAATTTGTATCACTTTAAATCAATAAGACACTTAAGTCGCGTCTGGTACACGACAATTCACTCATTGGGGCGAGATGAGTAATTAACAATTGTTTAGTAATAACAAATGCTTATAAAGAACTGTAATGTTTCATATGCAAATACATACACTATTTTATACTTAATAATGATCATATACGTGTGCAAAATTACTTGATAAAAAATATTTATCATTATGCGGTATAGAATAGGTCTGTATGGGAATGGGAACTATATACTGTGTGAAATAGTTGATAAAAGTAAGGCAAAAGATAAAATATAAAGTAATAATTGAGCAAAAAGTATTTTTTTGAATATTCAGACAGAGAATCTCAAATAAAGAAGAAAATCTTAATATACGTACTTAGAAAAAACAAATCTCACCATGATATTATACTCGATTTAAATATTTTACGCAGTGAAACTGCAAAAAAAAATGTTATGCCATCAAATTACATTATATTTCCTAATAAATAAAACCAAATTTAGAACTTCGGCAAGCTTCGGCAACTGTCAAATCTCCAAGTGAAAGTCTGAGAAAAGAAAATAGTACATATAACGATATATGGATTTTTAGTTAAATAATATTCGACTAAACTAAATATATTTTTATTTTATAGTAAAGTACACATTCTAAGCATTCTAAAATGGTATCACACTATATGACTTGATATTGTTTTGATACTATAAACTTGTACCAAACAAATTTAAGTTACAAAATTATTTTTGTATTTTTTTCATTCCTTGACTTTAGAGGCTCTATTCTATGAAGTATGAATAATCATAGATTTGAATCATATTTATAATGATAGAGTAACTCTTTGGCTACAATTTGAGGTATTATACAAGCACACGGAGTTTTAGAAAAAGTATTTATGAGATGGCTTTCTTAGGCGAGTTCCCACTGTGCGTTGCCTCGATGTGCTGCGTTGGATTGCAAGTGATTGTTTTGTTTTGTGAATATTTATATATTTAATTATTTATTCTTCTCAAATAACTATATATTTAAGAAATAGAAATAATCTTTATTGAAATAAACTCATTACAAGCACTTTTGAATAGTCATATTTTGATTCTACCACTCATTCGGAATGCAGATTCATCACAAGAAGAATGAGAAAGAGACTTGTATGTTGCTCTTTTGAATAGATTTTTTTTAATACAAATAATTACACAATAACAAGTAAGAGGCATGCGATAATTTAAAAATTTTAATTTGTCAACTTTGCTATGAGCTAGTAGCTAGTATATAAATAAATAGTTACTTGAGTAAGAGAACAAAAAGGTAATAATTATCAGAGCAGACCTTCTTCTGCATGAATACATCAGTCTTATCTATTTCTGCCGTCTAGCATCTTTGGATTTACAAACAGCATCCAATAACAAGATAATAACAATAATAATAATCTCAGGACAATTCACACAGCGCCATCTAGACCCAAGTTAAGCTAGCTAAAGCTTCTGTTATGGGTACTAGATACCTGATACAAATACATAGATTTTTTTTTGTAAATACATACATATTATACATAGAAAACACCCAGACCGATACAAATAATCATACTCATGAATACATTTGTGCCGTGCGAGGAATCGAACCCGCGACCATCGGAAGTAAAGCGGTGTGCTAAACCACTAGACTACCGAGGCTGCCAAATAAAAACCAAAGCTTCTCCGTTTTAGGAAAATGGTTATAATCGAGTAATAAGCTCCTTTCTAAAATCGATTGAAAAGCTAATATGAGCTTTCCAAATGTTTGTCTTTGCGTTTCTCTGTTGGATCTTGTGTGTGGGTGTGGCATGACGTTTGCAGCTTTGGAAAATACCCAAAATTGGATTTGTATTAGCGAACTTGTTGCAAAACCATGTTTTGACTATTCTTTCAAGTTATTTTCCAACGCGGACAAACAACGTGACACGTAATTTTTATATATAAAGATATGTAATGTTAATTATTCTCTTATCTGTGGTATATATAAAAAAACAATATCTCTGCGTGTTGGGACGAACTGGTGCATCATTCCGTTTATATCATTATGCAAACAAGATAATTGAACTCCTGTTTACCACAGTTCAATACTGAACCATGTAGTAATTGATAAGGTTATTTCCTTCAATAAACAACCTTCACCCGCATGTTGATAAAAGATAACAAATAGATTGCCAATATTGTGGGCATTGAAACTATTCAAGTACGCAATTGACTGATTACGTTGTTTTGTCGCTGTACAAATATTCGAAGTATGACGTATGTACCTATATACCTCGCCGTCTTAAGGGGCCCTTGGGCACACTTGACGTATGTACCTATATACCCCGCCGTCTTAAGGGGCCCTTGGGCACACTTGACGTATGTACCTATATACCCCGCCGTCTTAAACTAAACTGGGGCCCTTGGGCACACTTGACGTATGTACCTATATAGCCCGCCGTCTTAAACTAAACTGGGGCCCTTGGGCACACTTGACGTATGTACCTATATACCCCGCCGTCTTAAACTAAACTGGGGCCCTTGGGCACACTTGACGTATGTACCTATATAGCCCGCCGTCTTAAACTAAACTGGGGCCCTTGGGCACACTTGACGTATGTACCTATATACCCCGCCGTCTTAAACTAAACTGGGGCCCTTGGGCACACTTGACGTATGTACCTATATACCCCGCCGTCTTAAGGGGCCCTTGGGCACACTTGACGTATGTACCTATATACACCGCCGTCTTAAACTATACTGGGGCCCTTGGGCACACTTGACGTATGTACCTATATACCCCGCCGTCTTACACTAAACTGGGGCCCTTGGGCACACTTGACGTATGTACCTATATACCCCGCCGTCTTAAACTAAACTGGGGCCCTTGGGCACACTTGACGTATGTACCTATATAGCCCGCCGTCTTAAACTAAACTGGGGCCCTTGGGCACACTTGACGTATGTACCTATATACCCCGCCGTCTTAAACTAAACTGGGGCCCTTGGGCACACTTGACGTATGTACCTATATACCCCGCCGTCTTAAACTAAACTGGGGCCCTTGGGCACACTTGACGTATGTACCTATATAGCCCGCCGTCTTAAACTAAACTGGGGCCCTTGGGCACACTTGACGTATGTACCTATATAGCCCGCCGTCTTAAACTAAACTGGGGCCCTTGGGCACACTTGACGTATGTACCTATATACCCCGCCGTCTTAAACTAAACTGGGGCCCTTGGGCACACTTGACGTATGTACCTATATACCCCGCCGTCTTAAACTAAACTGGGGCCCTTGGGCACACTTGACGTATGTACCTATATACCCCGCCGTCTTAAACTAAACTGGGGCCCTTGGGCACACTTGACGTATGTACCTATATACTCCGCTGTCTTAAACTAAACTGGGGCCAATGGGCACACTTGACGTATGAACCTATATAGCCCGCCGTCTTAAACTAAACTGGGGCCCTTGGGCACACTTGACGTATGTACCTATATACCCCGTCGTCTTAAACTAAACTGGGGCCAATGGGCACACTTGACGTATGAACCTATATAGCCCGCCGTCTTAAACTAAACTGGGGCCCTTGGGCACACTTGACGTATGTACCTATATACCCCGCCGTCATAAGGGGCCCTTGGGTACACTTGACGTATGTACCTATATACCCCGCCGTCTTAAACTAAACTGGGGCCCTTGGGCACACTTGACGTATGTACCTATATACCCCGCCGTCTTAAACTAAACTGGGGCCCTTGGGCACACTTGACGTATGTACCTATATACCCCGCCGTCTTAAACTAAACTGGGGCCGTTGGGCACACTTGACGTATGTACCTATATACTCCGCTGTCTTAAACTAAGCTGGGGCCCTTGGGCACACTTGATGTATGTACCTATATACTCCGCCGTCTTAAACTAAACTGGGGTCTTTGGGCACACTTGACGTATGTACCTATATACCCCGCCGTCTTAAACTAAACTGGGGCCCTTGGGCACACTTGACGTATGTACCTATATACCCCGCCGTCATAAGGGGCCCTTGGGCACACTTGACGTATGTACATATATACCCCGCCGTCTTAAACTAAACTGGGGCCCTTGGGCACACTTGACGTATGTACCTAAACGGCACACAAGAATTCGGGAACCTTAAGGAAAAAAAAAACTCATTACGTATAAGAACATAGGTTTAGGCGAAGTAATCAGTATAATGGCGTAGTATATGCCTTGTAAATACCTTCTGATAACATTACTGATTTGTGAAAATAGTGTAGTGTGCCCGACAAAAATCTTTTGAGAATAAATGTGTGAGAAAAATTGTCAGTCCTTCGGGGGGCCCTTGAGAATGGGGGCCCTGGGCACGGACACATAAAAAAATCGCTTCAAAATCAGTTGCGTAGTTTTAAAGATGTAAGCATACATATATACGGACAGACGATACATATATAGCGACAGTGACTTTGTTTTATACTATGTAGTGACATGCATATATTTTGGTTTTTTTGCGGAATACTCTAATGCTGTTGGCCGCAGCTGGCCTTTACAGCTTCACCAGACGATAGGGGGCGAGTACAGATGGCACTCCAAACCAAAGGAAGGACTTATGGAGCGGCTAAAGGGCAACTCCTGCCTAACGGATACGACTTTAGTCTGAGCACACCACTAGAGGTTCGAACCTCGGCTCAGGACGTCGTAATATATATTTTTAATAAGTATTCTTTGTGAATTTTTTAAAACTGTGTACGTTAGGTCATCATGCCTATTCCGTATTCGAACCAAGTCACGGGATTAGCTAGTATAGAATATAGATAAGAAGGAGTACAACAAAGTATAATTAATATAAATTGATAATACAATCATATTCGCGTTCTATTTATACATACACTGCCTCGGTGATCTAGCGGTTTAGCTCACCGCCTTACTTCCAATGGTCGCGGGTTCGATTCCTCGCACAATACAAACATTTGTATTCATTAGTATGATTGTTTGTCTGGGTGTTTTGTATGTATATTGTGTAAGTATTTACAAAAAAATACATAGGTATCAGTTGACCTATCAGTTGTCTAGTACCCATAACATAAGTTCTGCTTAGCATGGGATTAGATGGCGCTGTGTAAATTGTCCTGCGATATTATTATTAATTACTGTCACATTGATTTTTTTATGGTTTATAATGTTATAACTCACGCGTCTACGCTAACCGATTTTTTTTATGGATGATAATGAAATGGTGCACCCGCCTGGGCTAACGGTTTACGCTGGCAGTGCACCAGTGGAGGATGATAAGATGAACATGAGGTCAGGTCAGTAAGGTCGCCATTACAAAATCTCAAGAAATTTATCATGATAGTTTCCAGGGGGAACCGCGTAGAGGTCAACCTGGTACATTGATAGCAATGGAGTTATTAGTCCACATTACAAATCCTCCCTCACTGGTCACGGTTCAACTGTTTTTTTAACGGATTACGCTGTCACGTCTATTTTAATCCATTAAAAAAACAGTTGAACCGTGACCAGTGAGGTTACGCTAATGGTTTACGCTGACGGGGCTCTAGTGAACCTAATCCCAAGGTTCAGATTAGTTAGCTCACCCTGACAAAATCTCAAGAAATGTGTCATGATAGTTTCCAGGGGGAACCGCGTGGAGGTCAACCTGACATGGTACATTGCTAGTATTGGTGTTATTGGCCCACATTACTAACCATCCCTTTTTCCCCGGTCACACTTAGTTTGGACAACTTTAGTTAACTGTTTCCTGTATCTTCCTGTAACAAACTTATTATTTACCCCCAGCGGAGCAACACATTCCAATATGGTCATCTGTGACAACACAGGACAAGTGGTTGGAAGGTCCAAAGGACCTGGCACCAACCAGTGGGCGATCGGCATGGAGGAGTGCACCAAAAGGATAGTGGCTATGGTGCAGGCGGCGAGGAAAGATGCCGGGATACCCAACGATAGGGTACTGGATTCATTGGTAACTATTATTTTTACTATAATAATAATAAATGTTTATTGTGCATAAAAAAAGAATAAATAATTACAAAAGAGAAGGAAAGAAATATATGTGAATAAAAAGAAATCGCTCAAAACGATCTCTTACAGACAACCTGGGAGATAAAAGTATTGTATAAGGGAAAGGTAGGTGGCGCACTATAGAAAGAGAGTTAAATATTATATGAATACTAAATACATATACATACAAATACTAAAGAATTAGTCTAGCTATTCAAAGAGGGAACGCTGCCAGTATCTTCGGAACGTTGCCTAAAGGGACCCCTTTTAATAATATATTTTAGTCATCATATAATACTAAAGGTATATAATTATAAATAAAATACACATACATAAGTTATCATCATCATCATCATCATCGCAGCCCGGAAGACGTCCACTGCTGGAGATAGGCCTCCTCCAAAGATCTCCACGACGATCGGTCCTGCGCTGCTCGCATCCAATGCAATGTGGGTTATATTTTATCACAAAAATCTAGACAAAGTTCCGGTTTTATTATACAAAATAGCTTGTGCCCGCGGCTTCGCTCGCGTTAATTTATCCCCTTAGAGATGGGATTTATCAAAATTCTTTCTTAGGGGAATGCCTACATCATAGTAGCTTTGTGCATGCAAAGTCTCATCCCGATCGGTTTAATATAGACAAAGTTTCGTACAAACTTTCATCCCCTATTTTATCCGCTTGGGGGTAGAATTAATCAAAACCCTTTCTTAGCGGATGCCTACGTCATAACATCTATCTGCATGCCCGATCCGTCCAGTGGTTTGGGCTGTGCGTTGATAGATCACTATGTCAGTCAGTCACCTTTGAGTTATATATATTTAGATATTAGCTGTTATCCGCCATTTCGTCGGCGTGATATTGCAATAAATAAAATTACTAAATTAACAGTTGCCTAAGTTACTCCTTATAACATTAGCTATCTACAAGTGAAAGTCCTATCACAATCGGTGCATTCGTTTCAGATATACTATATATGATGCTCTACTTCTCAGGGTCTGACACTCTCCGGCTGCGGACCAGAGAGCAGCAATTCAGAATTGGCAGCAAGAGTAAAAGAGGAAGACAGCAAGATTGGTCTCATCTACGTCGGGTCCGACACTGAAGGGTCCTTGTTTACTGGAGCCCCTGATGGGGGCATGGTTCTGATTGCTGGTAAGTACAAAGATCGGTTTACTTTCTTTATTTCCCTCCAATCGATCCCCTGTACAATTCAACCGGGAATTGATATTACGAGGTTCGAACCCCTAGCGGTATCCTCAGACTGAAGTCGTATCCATCAGGAGGGAGTTATCCTTCAGCCACTCCATAAGTCCTTCCGCGGGTTTGGAGTACCATCTGCACTCGCCCCTTATCGTCCGGTGAAGCTGTAAAGGCCAGCTGCGGCCAACAGCATTAGAGTAGTCTAAAAAAGAAACTTCCTTTATTATTGTGTAAATTTATTTAGTTGTATTTATAAAATATATGTTTATCTATAATCTATACATATGTATAAATAAAAGTGGAGTGTCTGTTTGTAATATTGAAATAACCGTTTTTTACTACATATAAATACAAATACGGTACATACACAAAAATACATTTTTTTACAATTTTTGCCTATCTCTTTGTTCCGGTTAATCTCTGAAATGGCTGGGCCGATTTTAACGGGACTTGTATTAGCAGGTAGCTGATGTAATAAGGAGTAACTTAGGCTATTTTTATTTTAGAAAAATAAAGTTAAATTCCACGCGGAAGAAGTCGCGTGTACAGCTAGTCGTCAATAAAAAAAATAGGTCAACATACGAAGTTAATCATAGGGAGCAATAACATCGTACAATCAGTTGACAGTTGCCGTTTATCGGGTGACCAATATTCCTGGGGCCATATGTCAGACAGTCGCCTCTGGTGTTTGAATACGAGATAAACACGCCACAATGTTACACACTCGGATGCTGTATATCAATGTACTCAAAGATTATTACTTCTTTCTTCTTCCGCGTGGAATGTAACTTTATTTTTCTAAAATAAAATATTTTTTTGAAAATACAACTAGCCTAATTTACTCCTTATTGCATCAGCTACTGTCTGTCTGTTTGTTCCGGCTAATCTCTGAAATGGCTGGACCGATTATGACGCTTTTTTGGCAGGTAGCTGATGTAATAAGGAGTAACCGGAATGGTAACTTTATTTAGTAACTTTATTTTTCTAAAATTAATATTATCTTAAAGTTAAATTCCACGCAGACGAAGTCACGGGTGCAGCTAGTATTAAATAAGTATTCTGTAATGCTTAATAAATGTTCTTATTATTATCCAAAAATTCTCATCTCCCCTCTTAAGGAGAGGAGATGGCAACATACCCCCGGCAGAAGCACAGTCGGCCGGGGTTCAGGGCCCCAGGGACAGAAACCGGCGTACAATGCGGGCAGAATCTAACAGCACCGCTTTCTGCATCTTTCCCGGGAGTGAACCGCCTCGGAATCCCAACCGTCTGAGATGTTGTTCCAGACTGGTTGGGATAAGACCGTTCACCGACATAACGATTGGAATGATTTCGGTGGATATTATTATTATTATTATATGAGCATAATGGATGAGCATGAAGTCGGATAATTTTGCTCATCGTGGCGAATTTACCAAAAATGTTAAGATTACTAGACAATTGATATAAATACATAATTTTTTTTCTAAATACATACATAATATGTATATATTTCAGTACTCGTAATACAATCTATATTCACGTTAAACTCCGTTTAGTAGTTAAAAGGTAACAAACAGTCAGACAGACATGTGTTGAAGTTTATAGTATTAGTACAGATTGTTTTGTTATTTGTTATGAAAAGAGGATGTAAATGTAGGTCAGTCCGCTTGATAGATCTCATTAACTGGGTAATAATGATACTCCTGATAACCTCTCCTTGACTTCTAGAAATTAATACATACAGTGCTATTTACAAGACGAATAATATTTTAAGGAAGGTGTTACATATGAATGTGGATGGTTATAAGGGCAGAGGAAGGCCGAAAAAGAGATGGATGGACTGTGTGAAAGATGATATGTTAAGAAAGGGAGTAAATAACGAGATGACTTGGGTCTCTTGATAACCTATCCTTGACTTCTAGAAATTATATTAATAATATATTTAGTGTAACAATTTACAATACAAATAATATTTTAAGGAAGGTGTTACATATGAATGTGGATGGTTATAAGGGCTGAGGAAGGCCGAAAAAGATGAAGTGTGAAAGATGATATGTTAAGAAAGGGAGTAAATAACGAGATGACTAGGATCTCGTGATAACCTCTCGACTTCTAGAAATTTAGTGTAACAATTTACAAGTCAAATAATATTTTAAGGAAGGTGTTACATATGGATGTGGATGGTTATAAGGATAGAGGAAGGCCGAAAGAGATGGATGGACTGCGTGAAAAATGATATGGTAAGGAAGGGAGTAACGAGATAACTGCGAAGCAGAATAAATGAAAGAGAAGAACATATTACGCCGACCCTAAATAAACGTAAGAAACAAAAATCATATGATGAATTTACAAGAGAAATTGCCATCATCGTCATTTCAAGTATTTATTCATTGATGAATATGGGGCCTATAGGTCCCGCAGGCTATAGACTTCGGCTCAAATAGGGCAATTAACTTACTAATATTAGAAACAGGAAAGTTTTAGTTTTAAATGAGTTTTTGTTACTTTTTCACGCAAAAATGTATTATATACAGAATAACAGATAAGGTATAAATTTTACGCGGGTGAAACTCGAGCACAGCTTGTTCTAAATATTGACCGTCCCTGCTTTGCTCAAGTGCAAATCATTATATAGTACTACCTGTCCCGGCAAACGTTGTTTTGCCTTAAATAAAAAAAAATTAAGGGTGGACTACCCCTAACATTTAGGGGGATGAAAAATAGATGTTGGCCGATTCTCAGACCTACTCAATACGCTCACAAAATTTCATGAAATCGGTCAAGCCGTTTCGGAGGAGTATGGGAACGAAAACTGTGACACGAGAATTTTATATTTTATATATAAGATAAAACAAAGTAGCTGTTGCTGTCTGTTCGTCCCTATGTATGCTGAAATCTTTAAAACTACGCAATGGATTTAGAAGCGGTTTTTTTAATAGATAGAGTTATTCAAGAGGAAGGTTTATATGTATAATACATGGACACCCGTGCAAAGCTGGGGTGGATGGCTAGTAACTTATAATATCAATATATACTCTCAATAAAATAGCAGAAACAACGGACTTGTTTGTGTGTAGTCTGTGTGAATTCACAAAAACAACATTGTATGTTATATGTTATGTTAACGAATATGTATAATATAGAATTAGATACACTATTGTATTGGGCTTAGGTCTGTAATAGTAGTTGTGTAAGTAAATAAATAAGAAATAATTTCAATTAATTATGGTCGAATTTCTAATACTAGGCGACTATTAATTATTATTTTTATCCATTAAAATATATACGAGGAAGTTTGAAAGTTGCGCCGGTTATAGAAAAGTTGCGAGGTAACAGATTGAGCTGGTATGGGCATGTTATGCGGAGGAATGAGGACCATGTCTTATGGAAAGTGTATAATATGAATGTGGATGGATGTAAAGGGAGGGGACGCCCTAAGAAAAGATGGATAGATTGTGTGAAAGATGATATGAATAAAAGAAGAGTATGTTTAGATATGACGACTGATAGAGAGCAGTGGAAGAGAATGACATACTGCGCCGACCACAAATAATGGGATAAAGGCAATGATGATCCATTAAAATATAATTTTTTGTGACATTTATAACTATTAGTATTAAATTTATCGCTATTTTTTGTCTTTTGCAATTTTTTTATGTTAATCTTTTCTTTACTATAACATGTATGTATATCTTATTTATTATTGTTATTGCCTATCTTATCAAAGTATAGTACTATGTATGCAGTTAATAAATCTAGGACTTCTTAGTATTGATATAAATATGATTATGATTACGCAGAAATGATATGTTGCGCAGACATTACGGTTTATTTGTTTATTTTACACATTGACATTTTTCTCTTGAAATGCCTTTACATGTTCATTCACACGGGAAGATTCCCGTTTCTTTCACGCAGAAAAGATTATGCATGTAAATGTAGACAAAGATTCCGCGTCCTTCATTTGTGCGTGCTCTCTTCTTCTTTCTCTCTCGCGTCTTTTTGTAACAATTAATTATCATTGCAAAATGGCGGACTTTCTTATTCGATACACTCTTGACAGAACGGTTGTGGTCATTATGTAGAGGAGTGAGAGGTTATTGTTATCCACCTTACGACAGCTCGCCATTTCTCGCCACTTGCTGCCTGGTACACTCGTTGAGTGGACCGCCTACCGCTGCTTTAACCTGATAAAATGGCGGATATCTGACCGCAAAAAGGCCATAATTCTGGAGTTATTGATAATATATAAATGGTAAACGTGTCTTCGGAGAATAAAATCTGTGCAAAATGAAATTTTAAAAGAAAGTGAAATAACATGAAATTTACGCGCAATCACGTGCAAAAGTGCACACAAAAAACAATTAATTGCACTCACAAATGCGCGTGCTATGCGTGAAAGAGTGAAAATTAATGCACTTACGACTGCGCGCGCTACGCGTGAAAGAGTGAACACGATTGCGCGCGCTACGCGTGAAAGATTGAACAGGATTGCGCTCGCTACGCGCGAAAGAGTGGACACTAATGCACTCACGATTGCGTACGCTACGCGTGAAAGAGTGAACACGATTGCGCGAGCTACGCGTGAAAGAATGAACACTAATGCACTCACGATTGCGTACGCTACGCCTGAAAGAGTGAACACGATTGCACGCGCTACGCGTTAAAGAATGAACACTAATGCACTCACGATTGCGTGCGCTACGCGTGAAAGAGTGAACACGATTGCGCGCGCTACGCGTGAAAGAATGAACACTGATGCACTTACGATTGCGTGCGCTCTTTCCCGCGCTAAATAGCGTGTGAAAAAACATGTCGTATAAAAGCTGGTAATGTTTAATTATGTGTTTTTAACCTTAATTTTTCTGTTCTTTCAGGTACAGGCTCCAATGCCTTGCTAAGAACGCCTGACGGTAAACAGTATGGATGTGGAGGATGGGGCCATCTGTTGGGAGATGAAGGTAGTGGTAAGTTGTAATCTTAGATCTATTTTTTTATATTAATATATGGAATAAATACATATTATATATAGAAAATAGCCAGACCGGTACAAACAATCATACTCATGAATACAAATGTTTGTGCCAAGCGAGGAATCGAACCCTCGACCATCGAAAGTAAGGCGGCGTACCAAACCGCTAGACCACCGAGGCCGTTAGATTTATAAAAAACTAGCTTTTGCCCGCGGCTTCGCTCGCGTTAAGTTATCCTCTTAGGGATGGAATTTATCAAAATCCTTTCTTAGGGAATGCCTACGTCATAGTAGCTTTATGCATGCAAAGTCTCAGCCTGATCGGTTTAAAATTGACAAAGTTTCATACAAACTTTCATCCCTATTTTATCCATTTGGGGGTATAATTAATCAAAATCCTTTCTTAGCGGATGCCTACGTCATGACATCTACCTGCATGCCAAATTTCAGTCCGATCCGTCCAGTGGTTTGGGCTGTGCGTTGATAGATCACTACGTCAGTCACCTTTGAGTTATATATATTTATAAAAAATTAACAACTCCTATCATAATAATTTAGATTAGACTTATAAGTTTAAGATATTTTCAGCTTATTGGATCGCTCACCGCGCGGTTAAAACAGCCTTCGATAGCATAGACGGGCTCCGGCCGTCCCCTCATCCCATAGACAACGTATGGGAAGCTGTTAAGGAGCATTTCAACATCAACACACAGGACGACCTGCTCCCTTACGCGTATAAGAACTTCGATAAACCACAGTTTGCTGGTGAGTTTCGGATTATTATTTTTAGTGACTGTTGCAGTTGTGGACTGTGGGTTCCTCTTTATCGGGCATTCGTGTCGTCTGCTTGGGTAGGCTACGTGGCAGAAGTGTCGAGGGCGATATAAATAAAAGATAGTCTCGTGTATAACCAATTATATTTGGAATTATTTGCAGTAAGAAACGATGTTAGATCGACGATGGCGTTCGGCAGAGAGAGTGTTGCCATCATACAAATTTAAATGTAAATTATTATTAATGTTGCCAACAGTGACATTTGATTTGGTCGTCAGTAGAAACAGAAATAGATAAATAGATAGATAAAATCTTTATTCGTATCTATATATCATTAGTACAAAAATTCAATTAACAAGTAAAGAAAGAAGAAAATAACACATAAGAATAATAAAAAAACACATAACACTTTAATTTACACGTGAAATAAGAACAAAAATAGAATAAAATTAATAGAAAATCATTTATTCAAATAAACTTACACACTATTGAGTAGTCATAACAATTTTTTTTATCTACCGCTCATTCGGACAGCTGTTTCATCACAAGAAGAACGAGCAAGAAACTTATGTTTTTCTTTTAAATGCTTCTTATATATTTTTTTTTATGGATGATAATGAAATGACGCACCCGCCTGCGCTAACGGTATACGCTGGCGGGGCACCAGTGGAGGATGATGAGATGAGCAGTCAGGTCAGTTAGCCCATCGTGATAAATTCACCAAGAGTCTATCACGATGGTTTCCAGGGGGAACCACGTGGAGGTCAACCTGACATGGTACATTGCTAGCAATAGGAATTTCTATTTCCCATTACTAATTTCCAGTTCCAATTCAAATTGTATATTTGTAAGTATTTTTAAAAAACCTATTTACCTATGTTAGGTAATATTATAGGTCCTTTCCCAGCCATTCCTTTTAGTATTAGTCCTTTCCCACCACTGCCCATCAACCGCTTTCTGTTCTTAGGGGCCGTTCAAGTATTACGTAAGCACTATAGGGGGGCGGGGGGTCTTTTCTTTGCTTATTTTGGATGACATGGGGGTGGGGGAGTCTGTGTGATGATTACGTCATCGGTCGTAATTTACTTTTTTACACGAATGGCAACCCTCTCATTGTCTTTGTTAAAAAAACAATACATTAATTGAGAAATGTTTACGTAAGCATGGGGGGAGGGGTAAGAGCTTTGCTTACTTTTGCTGACAACGGGGGATGAGGGGTAAATAATTGTGATAAATCTGCTTACAACAGCCCCTTACCTAATGGTTAGCTGGTAGAGATTGCCATATGGCATTAAGCTCGCCAAATTGTACGATTTTTAAAAGTGCAATAAAGAAAAAATAAATAAATAAATTCATTAAGTAAATAAATATTTCCCATGCTTCCAGCTTTAACAGCAACTCTATCAAAACTGGCCTATCAAGGAGACGCGCTAGCTTGCCATCTCTTCGCTGAAGCTGGGAGTGCAATAGCAGCCCATATAGCTGCTTTAGCTCCGAAGTCTACTGGAAAAGTCAGAATAGTCTGTGTTGGGTCAGTTTGGAAGAGTTGGGATGTGCTCAAACCTGGTGTGCTCAAGGAGTTAACTCATAGGAATGTAAGTATACATTGGTATAAGCACTTCGGTGGTATAGCGGATTTGTACACCACCTTAATTCCAATGGTCATGGGTTCGAATTCTCGCATAGCACAATTGTTTGTATTGGTCTGGCTATTTCAAATCAAAATATCTTCCTTCATGTAGGTCTATTACTGATTCTTATGATATGTCGAATCTGCCGTCAGTTCGGAATGATTTCTATATACATATATTAATATCTAAACTGTTAGACTACCTGTATGTTTTTACACAAAATAATATTTAAATGTTTATAACAGTTGTCTAGTACCCATAACACAAGCTCTGCTTACCGTGAGACTAGTTGCGCTGTGGTAATTGTCCAGGGTTATTTACTCATTCACTCATTCACTCATTCACTCAATTACTCAATTACTCATTTACACATTTACTTATTTATTCATTTTTTCCAGTTAAAAATTGAATTGGAGTTTGTCAGGCTACGAGTTTCCAGTGCAATGGGCGCGGCATGGATTGCAGCGAAGCACGCCAACTGTATACTACCGAGAGATGACTCCCTCTTCTGTGATATATTGTACACATACCGAGGCGACGAAGTCTCCAATGGCACGAATGGCAACGTGGTAAAGTTGAATGGCAACCACAACAACGTGCACTGCGGTTGTGATAATTGGACCAATTGGAATTAGTGGTTGCTGATATGTAAAAAGTAAAAAAAAAACAATAGCTGGGTTCAGATAACTACAGCATACTGTCATGTAAAGTGTTGTATTCATCTGTCACTGCGACAGATGCAAATGCTTCTGATCACCCCATCAGGCATAAATGTCGTGAAGGTACAGAATATAGAAGGGTAATATAATATTCAGAGTCATTGACCTGTAGTGACATGACCTTAACATGACCATTAGAGGCCGTTTTAAGCCACAGATTAAATTAAATTAAATTGACCTTGATTTAAAATGATTCCTTTGTATAGATGTTACTTGAGACTAGTCGAGAGAACTGAGCAAAGAATCACTACGTTTTGGTCAAAACTAAAATAAAGTTAGTATCATGATAATGCAAACAGAGTATAGAGAGTGACGGAATGACACCTCGCTCGCTTCTCTATTTTTGAGTAAATTTAGTACACAAGTCTGCCTTCACTTACCATGTACGTTCCATATTTAAAAAATATGTACTGAATACCAAGGATTTGCTTATCTATTGAGTCGTTTCAAATATATTCTGTTTGTTTTCATTATCCTGTTATAAAAGGGATAATAAAGAGGGCAGAATATTCCTAATGATCTTTAAATCGCACTGCTATTTTTCCCCGCATATTTTATTAATGTATTAGTTTAAAACGATTTTCGCGCGTTTTTTGTCTAAGTACCAGGATTTATAAAATTTTCACAAAGTTCCATATTACATAAGTCTTTTTTTTCTGAATTATTTCGTGCCTTTAACACTGGCAGTGCGGATTATTCTTACCATTTGGTAGACGATTAATTTGTAATTAACCTTAAAAATAAGTTGATTATATAAAAAATGAATGATTATATACGCTTCAAAATGGAGATTAAAAAGGATCTGATGCCAAGCATAACCAAATAATTACTGTAACATGCTAATTATTTTAGTGTATTCAATGTTATATTTGTTATTTTGAAATTTCAATCAAGAAAGATTATAATGTAAAGATTAGAATGCATTGGCATTGGCTATTGCATTAATTATTTAAAAAAAAATGTAATGAACTTTATTACTTTTATTTTTATTTTCGTTTGTACGTTATTGCACGCTAGAGTTGTTACGTTTATTTTATTATTTGTAAAATAACTTTAATTTTTAACAAGAAATCCATGAAATGTGAAGGACAAGTCAAGGACAAATAATTGTCAGAAATTTATTTAAAAAAAAAAGCAAACGATTAAGTTGTGTTTTAAATGCTTATTTTTATGTCCTAATATTAATACAGAATATTATTCGACTATCATAGCTGCTAAAAATGTATATATTGTATATAGATGGTAATCTATTAATATTTAGAAAATTAAGGATAAATCAAATATATTTTCTGTAGTATATAGTTCCTATTTGTAGAAAATATTATTTCTTAAGACATATCATGCTAAACCATTAAATAAATTTATAGTTGTGTTATATTGATTTAGCTATAAGTTTAATCGATTATTTTTATCCATCTCTTATATCAAGATATACCTATAGATAAAAACTAAACTATTTTCCCTACCAAGCAAAATGACTGGAAATAAATTAACATAATTTTTCAATCTTTAAAATGGACCTCTGTGTGAATTTTGCAACGAGATCAGTCGTCAAGAATGTACTCATGCCATATAAAAACGGTTTCAAAAGATAAAAAAAAATAGTACCTAATGTAAAACGTTTTTAATTTTGTTACCTTATTCATATAATTTTTTTAAACTTTGATACTTAATTCTTACACCATATACTCCCAAATTAGCTTAATAATATCGTACATAATAATCTTTATTTTTTTTTCTTTATTTTTTTTTTACGGTTGAATTCATCTAACTAGTCATCCGACAGGTGATACTAAATTTATTTTCCGGCTTGGGTTATCTTGGGAAAATTTGTTTAGTTTCATGGTGGGTATACAATATCTATAGTTGAATGTTGCATTCTAAAGCATTCAATTATAGTATTTTATATTGTAATTACATACACGTTTATTTAAAGTTATGAACAAGCATTTTATGAATGAAAATAAATGTCGCAAAGTACCTATATTGACGTTTCATTATTTTGAAAATAGTGGAGTGAGAAACTTGTTGGCTGTATCCGTTTGAGAATAAGTGTAAAACTGATGAGATTTGAAATGTTAATATATTGTTATGCAAAAAAATGGGACCGATGATAAATATTATCCGTTCGTATATGTCAAGGATTCTAATATTTCTTGATACCTACGTAATATTTCATATAACAAAAGTCAGAATTTGAGTAATGCATTAATGCAAGGTTTCTTTGCCCATTCCTATCCATTATTACGAAGCAGTCTATATCAACTGTTTAATTACAATGCAAAACAATGTACCTACCACATATACATGAAGTTCCAAAATTGTAATTACAAAAGAAACTTATGATAATCTATTTAACAGAAAAGTTGACTCATAACGTTTCATCATCATTGCCTTGCCTTTATCCCATTATTTGGGGTCGGCGCAGTATTTCATTCTCTTCCACTGCTCTCTATCAGTCGTCATATCTAAACATACTCTTCTTTTATTCATATCATCTTTCACACAATCCATCCATCTTTTCTTAGGGCGTCCCCTCCCTTTACATCCATCCACATTCATATTATACACTTTCCATAAGACATGGCCCTCATTCCTCCGCATAACATGCCCATACCAGCTCAATCTGTTACCTCGCAACTTTTCTATAACCGGCGCAACTTTCAAACTTCCTCGTATATACTCATTCCTTATTCTGTCATTCCTCGTAACCCCACACATCCATCTTAACATTCGCATTTCTGCCACGTGCACACGCCTTTCGTCCATCCCCTTTACGGCCCAACATTCAGATCCATACAAAATGACAGGTTTTATCATAGATTTATAAACTTTACCCTTTAGTTTCAAGGGCATTCGGGGGTCGCATATCGTTCCCGAGACCTGTCGCCATTTCATCCATCCCGCACTAATTCTGTGCTTTACATCGCGGTCTATGTCGGCATTGTTCTGAATAACTGAACCGAGGTACCGAAAATCGGAGCAGACCGGAAGCATTACACCGTTTAGATAGATAGGCTTGAAACTGGAGAGACCGCCGAAATCGCAGAATAGGTATTCAGTTTTAGCGTTACTCGTTATAACGTTTAATAGTTATAATTAATGGTTGTAAATAGCAGTTATTTTATGAGTCACATCCCTTTTCACATGCAATGTCAAAAGATTCATTCATTCAAGCAGTTACATTCATTCTTTCATTCAGTTCAGTATATTGTCAAAAATGTCCGTCATAAGAACGTTATCTCGTATTTTTATTAAACATCCCATTATAAATATAAATTATAGATCTTCAAGTAGATTAATATCAACATTTAACACCGATAGTAGATGGCAAGATAATAAAAGAAATTATTTTAGCGGCATTTTGGCGCTCGCCGCAGGTTTTATAGGTTATGTTAGTTTTAAAGACAAAGTTTATGCTGCAACAGTTATTAATGACTTGAAAGGAAGACGGCAGAAGTATAACTTCATAGCTGACGTGGTGGCGGTGTCTGCACCGGCCGTGGTGTACATAGAAATCAAGGATGGACGTAGAGTTGACTTATTCAGTGGCAGACCACTAACTCTCTCAAACGGTTCTGGGTTTATAGTGAAAGAAGACGGGTTGATATTAACAAACGCTCATGTTGTTGTAAATAAACCGAACGCTACGGTTAGCGTAAAACTCATGGTGAGTTGCAATTGTTAATTTTGTTATGCAATCTTATTGACCACCTCGGTGGTGGGTTCGATTCATCGCATCGAACAAACATTTGTATGAGTATGATTGTTTGCATGGATTGGATGTTTTCTATATACTATATTATGTACAGTTGTCTAGTACCTATAACACAAGCTCTGCTTATTTTGAGACTAGATGACACTGTGTGACTTGTCTAAAGATAGGATTATGTCCTGGGAAATACTTTAAATCAATATAAAAAACATTACACACATTGGCATGTAAATACAAGATACAAATATTATGATATCACTTTTTATGCCATGATTTTTTTTGCTACACTTATTTTTGCACTGCTAAAAATTTCTCTCTGTACGACCTATGGTTGACTGGTAGAAAATACAGCATGGTGTTAAATCTGCCATATGTATTGTTACTTTTGTACTGTGTGCATTAAATAAGCATGGCAGTATTGTCTTTAAGAATAATGAACAATGGTAACCTGAATAATGATGAAACTTTTAATTTAAATTAATTATGGTCTAATTTCGACCATTGCGAGACCACCAGTAATAGTATTTCAATGTTTACCTATTGCACCGGTAATAGCAATAGGTAAATATTGAAATACTATGAAAGCAGATGACATTGATGTTATTTTATGGTAGATATGTCTGCAATTTGTCCTATGCTTTATAAATTACTTTAGACCTTACCTTAGCCCTTGTAAATATTTTATCATCAGCTCTGTTCGAGCGCTATCGAACATGAGTTATTGACAGCCGCTAGGCCGGGACACCTTTCACTTTGCCTTGCGCCTACGACGTCACCGCACGCGTACCTTATTAATTAGCTAATGTTCCTTGTAATATTATAACTCCTCGTATTAAATATAATAAATTACAGTCCACTTCTTATTTTATTTACGAGTTATCAACAAACTGGTCCATCAGACTGGCCTTAAGTAACCCGCAAGATTATACCAATACCATTGGAATTTCGTTGGAGTTTGAACTTGGGCATTGCAATAAGTGCTACGAGAATACGACGTGTCATCGCTTCTACGGCGCATCGAAGTCGCATTATATAAGGAGAAGAATGTATCAATAATTATTCCCGAGGCCTTCAAAAGACAGTGGTGTAGAAATTCAAGACAACATTACAAATTGATGCATCCTGCCTTCACTTCGAGAAACTTCTATACATATACTGAGGATAATTCTTGTGGATAAGGACAACATCTAGTGAGTCTGTTCCAATTATTTCCTTTCTATATAATCTCCGCATACTTTCGTGCAATTGGTGCTTATTTTTCAATTATTCTTTTTTTTTCCTTCTTTCACTACTTCAAAATAAGTCAATAGTCGCCAATACCTATATACATATTTAATATTTAAACGCATCTTGCTTACTTTTATATTATACATATTCGATTGTATTAAGCGTGCGTATAGATAAAATCTCGCATCAATATTCGTAGGTACATTTGGCTAACGATTGCATTATTGCACCGCATGGACTTTGCACTACGCTGCAGCTGACCGTAACTTCACTCGCGGTCAAGGTCGTGCTTATCTATTCAATAGAAATTATTTCTTTTGCTCGTGTTACTACGCAATTATTATAATTGAATAGCATCTTTACATATTTTATATACATAAATAACTTTTCTTTTTCATTTCTATATTTATTTTTCGATATTAATTTATAATCTTTTCGTTATATTAAGTTAAAACTTATTTAGCAATGGCAAATAACGAAGATTTATTATGTAGAAAACGCAGTGCTATGAAAGCTAAATTAACTAATTTTAGTAATTTTATTACTGTACTTCTCAGCTGTGAATCTATTTCGGACCTCCAACGCATTGAGTTGGAAGGCCGTCTAAGTAAATTCGATGCATTGTTTGGTGAATTCGATGAATTACAGTTGGAGATCGAAGTACTTGCGGATAACCCAGAGGGAGCGTATGCAGAGCGAACCAAGTTCGAGGAACGGTATCACTCATTGGCTGCGCAGGCGCGTTTACTACTTGGCACTGGCAATGCTGCCTGCGCCGGTGGTGACGGCGGGTCTGTAGCGGGCTCCTCGAATAAAAACACAGGTCAATCATTCCAAAATGGCTTTATACGCATGCCGACCATCAATTTACCTCATTATGACGGTAGTTATAATTACTGGCTAGAGTATAGAGAGACATATTTATCGCTTATCCATAATAGTAGCGCGATAGATGACATTAGTAAATTCCACTACCTTCGTGCGTCATTAAAAGGAAGCGCAAAAGAAATAATTAAGAATATTGATTTCAAAGGAGACAATTATCAAATGGCGTGGAGTTTACTATGTGATCGGTATGATAACAGTAGACTTTTAGTGCATAATCACGTGCAGGCACTGTTCAATGTTGATAAGCTGCCAAAAGAATCACATTTGTCGTTACGTTCACTCATAGATAGCATTAATAAAAATATTAGAGCGTTAAAAACATTGAACGAGCCCACGGATTCTTGGGATACGCTTATAGTGTATATGATGTCATGCAAATTAGATCCCATCACTAGTAGGAACTGGGAGGAGTATCGCAATACATTGGATACTGCACCCACTTTATCACAATTTTGTAAATTCATTAGCAACAAAGCAGATTTATTAGAAACATTAGAAAACAATAATCAAAATCATAAAATACATAAATTAGATAATAAACAAAAAAGCTTCATAGTTGCCACTAATAATTATAACAATCATAACAATAATCAAAACTCAAACCAAATTTCTTACAATAAAACCCCATTAAAATGCCCCCTTTGTTTTAAACACCATCTATTATATACATGTGAATCTTTCAGAAATCTATCTATAGAATCACGAGTTTGTAAAGCAAAGGAACTCAATGTGTGTATGAATTGTTTACGCACAGGTCATATCACATCAAGATGTAGATTATCACGCTGCAAATATTGCAAAGGAAAGCATAATACTCTCTTGCATGTAGATGACCAGACCATGTCTACGTCTATTAATAATTCTATGCCTAGTAGTAGTAGTAGTGTCGCCCTTCCTATTGACATTGCCGGTATTTCTTCTACTAATTGTCCAACAGGCAATGTCGCTTTATCTTGTGACACTATCATACAGAATACTACTTCTTCTATTTTACTGTCCACAGCTATGGTGAAGGTTGTGAGCGATGACGGTGAGAAGTTCGACGCCAGGATCCTACTCGATAATGGTAGCACAGCCAATTTTATTACGCAGACGCTTAGTAACAAGCTGAGATTGCCTCGGCGGAACATTAACTCCACAATAACAGGTATAAATAGCCAAACATCAAATAGTACACAATCTTGTAATCTTACTATTATATCACTTGATGACAATTTTAAAATTACTATTGACTGCTATATTCTGCCTGAAATTACAAAACTGTTACCTCCAGCTTCAATTGACATTCGCAACATTCCTATACCTTCAAATTTACAGTTAGCCGACCCTTCTTTCTATTGTCCGTCAGCTATTGACATATTAGTTGGTGCTGAAGTATTTTGGGCGGTTCTCGGTAGTGCATCTATTAAACTCGGTAAAAACCAACCTACATTATATGCATCTAAATTCGGTTGGATAGTTACCGGTCCTGTGATTGTTTCATCAAAGTCCTTCTCAACAAAACAATCGCATTATTGTAATCTACAAACTAATGAATTAAACTTAAATTTAAATAAATTCTGGGAGTTGGATTCGGTTCCTTTAAAATATAGTTTATCTCCAGAAGAACGAGCCTGTGAGGAAAGCTTTCGTACTAATACCACTCGAAACAAAGACGGTCGTTTTATGGTAACTTATCCATTGAAAGACAACTGTAACACGTTAGGTAATTCTTATGAAATGGCTAAACGTCGATTTCTTTCCTTAGAACGTCGTTTTCAACGTGACCCTAACTATAAAGAGAAATACGTTCAGTTTATGGCAGAGTACGAGCGCCTGGGACATATGACTGAGATTACTTCACCATTGAAACCGCATTCTAGTAGCGAGATTGAGTATTTTTTGCCGCATCACGGTGTGGTTAGGGAATCCAGTACTACAACTAAGCTCCGGGTAGTCTTCGATGCCTCTGCTGCTTCCACATCTGGAATATCATTCAATGATATTCAGATGGTGGGGCCTACTGTCCAGGATGATCTGTTCTCCATTTTACTACGTTTCCGTCAACACAAATATGTAATATCTGGCGACGTAGAAAAAATGTATAGAGCAATTGACATCACTCCCTCCCACCGTTCTTTACAACAGATAATTTTTAGATCGAATCCCAATGAACCCTTAAAAACATACAGACTTAATACCCTAACTTATGGCACAGCTTCTGCCCCTTACTTAGCCACGAAATGTCTGGTTAGTTTATCGCCAGAATCAAGTAACGAAACCGTAAAGACTTCTATTGAACGTGACTTCTATGTCGACGATTATCTAAGCGGTGGTAATTCAATTTCTGAGGTGGTCAAAATGAGTAAGGAAGTAATTTCTATTTTATCTTCTGCAAATTTTCATCTACGAAAATGGCAGTCTAATTCATTTCAAATCTTAACTGAAATTTCAGGTATTACAGAGGCTTCAAATAGTTTAGATTTTTTTGAAAAGAGTACTATTTCATGTAAAACGCTAGGTTTGCGTTGGTTATGCGATTCAGATACGTTAGTACTTTCTATCTATATAGATACAAACAAACAAATTACAAAACGCAATATCTTGTCAATTATTAGTCAGATTTTTGATCCGTTAGGTCTAGTCAGTCCGTGTATAGTAGAAGCCAAAATAATTATGCAAAAGCTATGGCTTAGTAAATATGATTGGGATGACATTATATCTGACGAGTTAAAAGATCTCTGGCTTTCTTTAATAACTACCCTTCCTTGTCTAAATAACTTAAAAATACCTAGATGGGTATTATGTGACAATTATGTATGTAACGAAATACATGTTTTTACAGACGCGTCTGAGGCGGCATATGGTGCATGCATTTATATTCGTTCTACAGATAATAAAGGATTAGTTAAAGTCCAACTTCTAGTGTCAAAAAGTCGAGTGGCACCGGTTAAGCCCACTACAATACCACGTCTTGAGCTCTGTGGCGCCCTCTTAGGAACAAGATTGTGTACTAAAGTGATGAGTTCTCTTACTTTACCTATTAGTCATTGTCGGTTCTGGTGCGATTCGACAATAGTGTTGAGTTGGTTATCTATGGCAGCTAATACATTAAAACCCTTTGTACGCAATCGTGTACATGAAATACAGGAAAGTACAGCAGGGCATACGTGGAGTTATGTTCCGTCCACGGATAATCCGGCGGATTTTGTTTCTCGCGGGCTGAAGGCTGACCTAATCAGCAACTGTTCTTTATGGTGGTCAGGGCCAGAGTTTTTATTGTTAAATAAAAATGATTGGCCAAAAATGCCCAATCAAACTGTGAAACAAGATCCACCTGATGTAGTGTCATCGCATCGCTTTACATCACTCGACCTTACATCAAATCCTCATTCACATGTATTAATAAAATCACAATATAATAATCAGTCATTATTTAAAACACTAATTCATAAATTTTCAAATTTTCATCGTTTGCATAGAGTAGTTGCTTATATACTAAGATTTTCTAACAATTTAAAAGGTAAAAACAATAAGTTGCATGGTTTTCTTACTAGTAAAGAACTTACTGATTCATTACAGCTTATTACAATCCATGCCCAAAAGGATATGTTTCCAATAGAACTTAGTTTACTTTCATCAAAAAAATTATTACCACGTAAAAATAGACTTGCATCTCTAAGTCTATTCGTAGATAATAATGGTATTATTCGCGTAGGCGGCAGACTAGACAATTCTCCCTACGACTATAATATAAAACATCCCATATTATTGTGCGCAAAACATCATTTCACTAAATTAATATTTATTAAATACCATAAAGAATTGTTACATGCTGGTCCCCAGCTTCTTTTAGCCAATATTCGACATACATATTGGCCTCTAGGAGGCAGAAATCTTTCTAAATTAGTAGTCAGGAATTGCATAAAATGCTTCAAAAATAAATGTTTAACAATACAACCTATTATGGGACAGTTACCGACATCAAGAACAAAATTAGAGTTTCCATTTTTACATTGCAGTGTCGACTATGCTGGGCCAGTGTTTATAGCTGACCGGAAAGGGCGAGGTTGCAAGCTTATAAAGTCATACCTGTGTATTTTTGTGTGTCTTGCAGTCAAAGCCGTGCACATCGAGCTCGTTACAGACCTATCAAAAGAAGGGTATATGTCTGCTTTAAACCGTTTTGTGGCTCGTCGAGGTAAACCTCAAAGTATCTTGTCTGACAACGGTACTAACTTTGTCGGCGCCTGCAACGAGCTACAAACGTTTTTACAGAAATCTGATATTTCATACGAGGTCACCCAACAGGGTATTGAGTTTGCATTCGCTCCTCCCTATTCACCACACTTCAATGGTATCGCTGAGGCAGCAGTCCGTTCCACCAAACATCATTTAAGGCGATTACTGCAAGTAGCTCATTTTACGTATGAGGAGATGGCAACATGTTTGACTCAAATTGAGGCAGTTTTAAACTCACGTCCATTAACCCCTATTTCCTCTGATCCTTTAGATTTAACAGCCCTAACTCCTTCACATTTTTTAATTGGACGACCACTAATGTCGGTTCCACATCCACAAGTAATTGACATCAAAATTGAGCGTCTGGAACGCTATCACAGGGTGCAGCACATCAAACAACATTTCTGGCAAAGATTTCACCTCGAGTATATTTCTCTACTCCAACAGAAAACCAAGTGGACGTCTTCAACTGGCCAGCTGTCTGCTGGAACACTCGTCCTAGTAAAGGATAGAGGACAACCGCCGCTACTGTGGCTCCTGGGGCGCGTCACTAAAGTTTTCCCTGGCATCGACGGGGCCGCACGCGTGGCCGAACTGAAGACCAAGAAGGGAACAATTTTGAGGGCTTTCAACAACCTCTGCCCTCTTCCTGTTTCTTGAATACTTCAACCCGAGGAGGATGTTCGAGCGCTATCGAACATGAGTTATTGACAGCCGCTAGGCCGGGACACCTTTCACTTTGCCTTGCGCCTACGACGTCACCGCACGCGTACCTTATTAATTAGCTAATGTTCCTTGTAATATTATAACTCCTCGTATTAAATATAATAAATTACAGTCCACTTCTTATTTTATTTACGAGTTATCAACAGCTCTATAACTCCAACAAGTTCAAACCAGTGTAGCTACCTATTTTTTTGGGTTGATAATGGAATGGTGCACCCGCCTGCGCTAACGGTTTACGCTGGCGGGGCACCAGTGGAGGATGATAAGATGAGGATGAGGTCAGGTCAGTTAGCACATCGTGCAAATTCATCAGGAATTTAACACGATGGTTTCCAGGGGGAACCACGTGGAGGTCGACCTGGCATGGTACATTGCTAGCAATGGGGTTATCAATCCACATTACTAACAATCCCCTTCCCCCCAACCAGTGTAGCTAGCCTATACCATATCTGAACACAATTAGTCTAGGGAGAAAAGGGAATTGTTAGTAATGTGGACTGATGATCTCATTGCTAGCAATGTATGGTACATTGCTAGCAATGAGAGGCTGACATCCATGTTGTTTCCCCCTGAAACCAGCTTGACAAATTTCTGGTGAATTTGTCATTATGGGCTAGCTAACCTGACCTCATGCTCATCTTATCACCCTCCACTAGTGCCCCGCCAGCGTAAACCGTTAGCGCAGGCGGGTGCACCATTCCATTATCATCAATAAAAAAAACAGTATTAATCTAACTGGAATAAAATCTCAATAAAACACTATTAGAAATTGAAACAATCTTTACCCATTACAGGATGGTACCACCCACACTGGGCTAGTAGAAGATGTAGACCTAAAATCTGACCTGGCCACACTCCGGATTCCTGTGAATGGTCTACCAACTATGAAGCTTGGCTCCTCGGCAGATATCAAGCCTGGCGAGTGGGTTTGTATTTTATTAACAAACTAACACACACACACATACATCCTTACTAATATTATGAATGCGAAAGTAGGAATGTTTATTACGCTTTGACACAAAAAAAAACTAATTTTTTTAAAGAAAAGGCGTGATATATTTGACCAAGATAGTCAGACAGGACTGACTTTTTAAGAGCGAGGAGCTGTTCTACTGAAAGCGGCACTCTACCTGTTACATACGGAAAACCACATCTGCTTATAATCCATGTGACTGATTGCAAGATATCTAATATATAAAAAAAAAAAATTTTTTTATAAAAAACTAAAAATAAATTATAAATATATATTTAGGTATGTAGGTACTAAGGTCTTAGTTGGTTCCTCCCCTACTAACTTGTTTTTTAAATATCATTACAGGTAGTAGCAATGGGCAGCCCTTTATCCCTCAGTAACACAGTAACGGCTGGTGTGGTCAGTTCAACGCAGAGGGCCAGCGAGGAACTCGGTTTGCGGGGTGGGTAAGGTTCTCCTTCAATAGTCATTTGTTTTGAATAGTGTGTTTTTGACACTTGATTTAATGTTGTCAATAGCTAAGTTTCCATAGTGGGCGGATCGGGCTGAAATTTGGCATGCAGGTAGATGTTATGACGTAGGCATCCGCTAAGAAAGAATTTCGATTAATTCTACTTTCATCTCTGATTTCATCTCGGAGATGAAAGTTTGTATAAAAATTTGTCAATTTTAAACCGATCGGGCTGAGACTTTGCATGCATAAAGCTACTATGATGTAGGCATCACCTAAGAGTGGATTTTGATAAATTCCACCCCTAAGGCGAGCGAAGCCGCGGGCAAAATCTAGTGATCAATACAGGCCGAATATATTTAAATTAATTAACAATAAAAATTATCATTCTATTGAACTTGTGCTATCTATATAGATAATAGGTTTATTATTCAATCTACATGTATGATTTCAGGTAAAGATATGGTCTACATACAGACAGATGCGCCTATAACGTTTGGGAACAGCGGCGGGCCCCTAGTGAACTTGGATGGTGAAGCGATCGGTATCAACAGTATGAAAGTCACCTCCGGCATCTCATTTGCTATACCCATAGACTACGTGAAGGAATTCCTAGCTAAGAGTAAGTGAATATCATCGTTACATATATAAAATACAGTTGCTGTCGCTGTCTGTCCCTATATACTATAACATTATTTTCTATGTATAATATGTATGTATTTACGAAAAAAAAAATTATCTATTTAGTTGTATCAGTTATCTAGTACCCATAACACAAGCTTTAGCTAGCTTTATCCGTGGAAACCTATAAGTGGCCGTTATCATTTAATTATGTTTATAACTATGTTTGTAAATAGCCTTGGTTTTCCGAAAATAAATAAAAAAAAATTAAATTAAATTAAATTGGGACTAGATGGCGCTGTGTGAATTGTCTTGAGATTATTATTATTATTATTATATGCACATGTTTTATACATATAAACCTTCCTCTTGAATAACTCGCTGGAAAAAACCGCTTCAAATCCGTTGCGTAGTTTTAAAGATTTAAGAATACATAGGGACGGACAGACAGCGACAGCGACTTTGTTTTATACTACGTAATAATGATAGGAGGCCACTAGTTACAATTAATTTATTAATTATTGATACTTGAAATTTATTATTATTATTAATAATAACCCTGTACAATTCACACAGCGCCATCTAGTCCCAAGCTAAATAGAGCTTGTTATGGGTACTGGGTAATTGATATAACAACATAGATTTATTTTGTAAATACATACATATCAGAAAACAACCAAAATTAGTACAAACAAACATACTCAAGAATACAAATTGTACCGTGCGAGGAATTGAACCCGCGACCACTAAATTAATGATTCTTGAAATTGATTATTATTATTAATAATAACCCTGTACAATTCACATAGCGCCATCTAGTCCCAAGCTAAGTAGAGCTTATGTTATGGGTACTAGACAACTGTATTTACAAAAAAATCGATTTATTTAACATAACAGATAACATCAAAAATTAATACAAAAAAACTCTTGAACACAAATTGTACCGTGCGAGGAATCGAACCCGCGAAGACGGTGAGCTAATCTGCAAGATCACCTAGGCCGGCTAATTAAAAGAATGTACATATGTTAAAACAGCAATTACTGTTTTCAGGAAAAACCAAGCCTCCACAGGTTTCAAAGAGGTACCTAGGAATCACTATGCTGTCGTTATCACCCAATATCCTGATGGAACTGAGGATGAGGAATCCGGAGGTAAGGTACAAGGTTCTTATTCCATACTAGTTGCAGCGCTATCTGCATATAATACATTTTTTTTATAATTTACGATCTGTACCCGCGAGTTCATCCGCGTAGAATTTAACTTTATTTTTCTAAATTTTATTTATTTATAATTCTTTATTGCACCAATATTAAAAGTAGATACATAAAAAGAAAATAATATATAACAATACATTAAAGAAAGAAGAAGGTACAGAAGTCTTATCGCTAACGCAATCTCTTCCAATAAAGTAGGTGGCACGTGAGTGGAAATAAGGTAACAAAATATAATATATACATATATATATATATATATATAAACTTACTTAAATAAATTAAAATGAATAAATACATACATACACATAAAAATTATACATACATATAAATATTACACAAATAACACACTATACTAAATGTAAGAAGCAATAGAAGTGGAAAAGAAGTGAACATAAGAGTATTTACGGGGAGAGAAAGTGAGATTTAACTAAGTTCTTAAAGATTTTAGTTCTTTATTTCAGATAAATAAAGTTCCTTTTACAAATTTTGTCTGTCTGTCTGTACCCGCGAGTTCGTCCGCGTACACTTTTACTTTATTTTTCTAAATTTTATTTCAGGTAAATAAAGTTCCTTTTACAAATTTTGTCTGTCTGTCTGTACCCGCGAGTTCGTCCGCGTACACTTTTACTTTATTTTTCTAAATTTTATTTCAGGTAAATAAAGTTCCTTTTACAAATTTTGTCTGTCTGTCTGTACCCGCGAGTTCGTCCGCGTACACTTTTACTTTATTTTTCTAAATTTTATTTCAGATAAATAAAGTTCCTTTTACAAATTTTGTCTGTCTGTCTGTACCCGCGAGTTCGTCCGCGTACAATTTTACTTTATTTTTCTAAATTTTATTTCAGGTAAATAAAGTTCCTTTTACAAATTTTGTCTGTCTGTCTGTACCCGCGAGTTCGTCCGCGTACAATTTTACTTTATTTTTCTAAATTTTATTTCAGATAAATAAAGTTCTTTTTACAATTTTTGTCTGTCGATCTGTACCCGCGAGTTCTTCCGCGTACAATAGAACTTTATTTTTCTAAATTTTATTTCAGATAAATAAAGTTCCTTTTACAAATTTTGTCTGTCTGTCTGTCGGTCTGTTTGTTCCGGCTAATCTCTGAAATGGCTGGATCGATTTTGACGGGACTTTTTTTGGCAGGTAGCTGATATAATAAGGAGTAACTTAGGCTACTTTTACTATAGAAAAATGAAGTTAAATTCCACGCGGGCACAGCTAGTGTAAAATATAAATATTTACCGATTTTGACCGGACTTTTTTATCAGGTAGCTGATGTAATAAGGAGTAAGTAAGTTAAGTTAGTCCTACTACTTTTATTTTAGAAAAATAAAGTTAAATTCCACGCGAACGAAGTCGAGGGAACATCTAATATAATAATAATAATAATAATAATCTCAGGACAATTCACACAGCGCCATCTAGACCCGAGTTAAGCTAGCTAAAGCTTGTGTTATGGGTCCTAGACAACTGATACAAATACATAGATATATTTTTTTTTCGTAAATACATACATATTATACATAGAAAATACCCAGACCGATACAAACAATCATACTCATGAATACAAATGTTTGTGCCGTGCGAGGAATCGAACCCGCGACCATCGGTCGTAAAGCGGTAGACTAGACCGCTAGACCACCGAGGTCGTAATATGAAGTATATTTTAATAGGTCTCCTTTAAAAAGAAATTTTTATTTCTATTTCTGTTTCTATTTTTTTATATTGTTGCAGATGCCGACGGATATCGATCACGGAATACTCGTTTCGAAAGTTATCATCGGATCACCTGCATATAAGTAATATTAATTATATAATTAATAACTAGCTGAAAATTTCATGCCGGCGAAACCGGGAGCATAGCGTATATGTTATTCTGATGTATAAGCTATATCACTGTAAACTTTCATAAAAATCCGTTTAGTAGTTTTTGTGTGAAAGAGTAACAAATATCCATCCATACTCAAACTTTTGAGTTTATAATATTAATAGCTATATTTTGACGACCTCGGTGGTCTAGCGGTCTAGCACACCGCTTTACGTCCGATGGTTGCGGGTTCGATTCCTCGGCACAAACATTTGTATTCGTGAGTATAATTGTTTGTATCGGTCTGGGTCTTTTCTATATATTATATGTATGTATTTACGAAAAAAAAAATCTATGTATCTGTATCAGTTATCTAGTACCCATAACACAAGCTTTAGCTAGCTTAACTTGGGACTAGATGGCACTGTGTGAATTGTCCTGAGATTATTATTATTATATATATATATCTTATAATTAACTAGCAAGCCACCCCGGCTTCTCTCGGGTCCTATATATGAGGTTCTTTTATTAAAACTAAGATGTCTCCTAAAGTGTTCGTTTATTTTTTAATTTTATTTTATTTACTCAATTAATACAATATGTGTTATAATTATACATATGTATGTACAATACGTGTTGGCAATTAGCTGTAAATGTTACAGTTTATATTTTAAAACTATTATATTTCTTATATATAAAATTCTCGTGTCACAGTTTTCGTTCCCATACTCCACCGAAACGGCTTGACTGATTCTCATGAAATTTTGTGAGCGTATTATAGGTCTGAGAATCGGCCAACATCTATTTCTCATCCCCCTAAATGTTAGGGGTAGTCCACCCCTAATTTTTTTTTTTATTTTAAGGCACAACAACGTTTGCCGGGACAGCTAGTAGTTATATAAAGATAGGTTATAGCCCAAGAGCCCACGACTGCCAGACATACGTCATTTTAATAAACGTGTAAGTTCTTGTATGTGTGTCCCCAACACAGGTAAGAACGATCCCCAAATATGAAACCTGGATCGTGGTTCCTTTGGCAGGTACCAGGTAACAAAGGTGTAAAAAAAATCATATCAAATTCGTTATTTTAAGAAACTCCATATTTTCATATATTGTTCGTAGCACTATTATAACTTGCGCTGCTCATTGCCAGACACGTAGTGTGGTTCCAACCCCCGCCGGACCCCCCTAAACTATACTATTTTAGAAATAAACTTACGTCATTTTAATAAAGCTGAAATTTATATATATTATTGAGAGTTCTCTCAAACTGAGATTCCTAAATTGCCAGACAGTTTTCTTGGTTCCTTATCCTACCAGACTCATTGAAACCGTATATTGGGTAACAACGGTGTATACATTTTCATATCAAATTCGTTATTTTAAGATGCTCCATTTTTTCACATATTGCTCGTAACAGTATTATAACTTGCTCTGCTCATTGCCAGACCCTTAGTGTGGTTCCAACCCCCCGCCGGATCCCCCTAAATTATACTATTTTATAAATAGACTTACGTCATTTTAATAAAGCTGAACTTTATGTATATTATTGAGAGAACTATTAAACTGAGTTTCCTAAATTGCCAGACAGTTTTCTTGGTTCCTTATCCTACCAGCTCATTGAAACCGTATATTGGGTAACAACGGTGTATACAATTTCATATCAAATTCGTTATTTTAAGATGCTCCATTTTTTCACATATTGCTCGTAACAGTATTATAACTTGCTCTGCTCGTTGTCGAACCAAGAAAACTGTCTGGCAATTTAGGAAACTCAGTTTAATAGTTCTCTCAATAATATATATAAAGTTCAGCTTTATTAAAATGACGTAAGTTTATTTATAAAATAGTATAGTTTATGGGGGTCCGGCGGGGGGTTGGAACCACACTAAGGGTCTGGCAATAAGCAGAGCAAGTTATAATACTGTTACGAGCAATATGTGAAAAAATGGAGCATCTTAAAATAACGAATTTGACATGAAATTGTATACACCGTTGTTACCCAATATACGGTTTCAATGAGTCTGGTAGGATAAGGAACCAAGAAAACTGTCTGGCAATTTAGGAAACTCAGTTTGAGAGAACTCTCAATAATATATATAAATTTCAGCTTTATTAAAATGACGTAAGTTTATTTACAAAATAGTATAGTTTGGGGGGGCCGGCGGGGGGTTGGAACCACACTAAGGGTCTGGCAATGAGCAGAGCAAGTTATAATACTGTTACGAGCAATATGTGAAAAAATGGAGCATCTTAAAATAACGAATTTGATATGAAATTGTATACACCGTTGTTACCCAATATACGGTTTCAATGATTCTGGTGGAATAAGGAACCAAGAAAACTGTCTGGCAATTTAGGAAACTCAGTTTGAGAGAACTCTCAATAATATATATAAATTTCAGGTTTATTAAAATGACGTAAGTTTATTTACAAAATAGTATAGTTTAGGAGGGTCCGGCGGGGGGTTGGAACCACACTAAGGGTCTGGCAATGAGCAGAGCAAGTTATAATACTGTTACGAGCAATATGTGAAAAAATGGAGCATCTTAAAATAACGAATTTGATATGAAATTGTATACACCGTTGTTACCCAATATACGGTTTCAATGAGTCTGGTATGATAAGGAACCAAGAAAACTGTCTGGCAATTTAGGAAACTCAGTTTGAGAGAACTCTCTATAATATATATAAATTTCAGCTTTATTAAAATGACGTAAGTTTATTTCTAAAATAGTATAGTTTAGGGGGGTCCGGCGGGGGGTTGGAACCACACTACGTGTCTGGCAATGAGCAGCGCAAGTTATAATAATGCTACGAACAACATATGAAAATATGGAGTTTCTTAAAATAACGAATTTGATATGATTTTTTTTACACCTTTGTTACCTGGTACCTGCCAAAGGAACCACGATCCAGGTTTCATGTTTGGGGATCGTTCTTTCCTGTGTTGGGGACACACATACAAGAACTTTCACGTTTACTAAAATTACGTATGTCTGGCAGTCGTGGGCTCTTGCTCTATTAGGTAAGGATTCTTATTTTATTTATCATAGAAGGCAAGGCTTCTGTATACACGTCAGCATCTTGGACCTTACCCAAAAATAAGTTGAATAGTCGCAATGCTCGAACAGTTAGGACAATTAATCGAAATTAAATAATAGTAATAATAATAAACCATTAAGTTCACTACTTATAATGGACTTACCAATTAATAATTCAAATTCAATTAAAAAATATCTTTATTCATGTAGGTCTATTACAGACTCTTCTGATATGTCAAATCTACCGTCCGTTCGGAATGACTTCGAGATGAGAAGAACTGACAAGAAACTCAGCTCGTATTCTATAGTCATTTATTCATAAATCAATAATACAATTGTGTTTGAATATAAGTACAGTTCATAAAATTTTCAAATAAATGTTGTACATGTTTACAATAATACAGATCCATTTTTAAATTCGAATTTGGGAGAATAGAGTGACCATCAGCATATGGTATTGCAAAAGCAAATAGTGTAATCAGTATTCACAACTCAAACAGACCAGTCCCCACAAACTTAATAACATCGGAGGTAAGACGATGCGCTAAACCCAGACCTTTTACGACCTTATGCGGCCTTATTACAAAAAGATAAACCTGGTTTAGCACTAGTAATAAACCATTCACCAATGTATTCCTTATTACAAAATGAAGTTTATCTCTAAACCGTGACTCGTCTCTGGTCTAAAGTTAGACCTGCGATGCCCCTAGTTTAACAGTGGTCTAAATGAAAAAAGTCAAACTACATTTTAAAAATTGTATTGTAAGTTGTTGTTTTTCGAAAAATATTTTAACTAAATTAAAAATATATTTAAAGCTAATTTTACGATAATAAAAATATATAAAAGACGTTATTTGTTATTTTTTCACTCATTTTACTTTGAAATAGTCGCCATTCGAATCGATCCAATAAAAATATCCCGCCGTTCCTTTTCTCCCTATAGGACTCCTACTTGTAATTTAAAACTGATTTTCAGCCTAATAGTACATTAAAAAATATTATATATTAATGAAATAGTTATAATGAAGACATAGATAGTTATAATGAAGAAATAGATAAATAGAAATAAATTTATTTTTTGTTTATACATTTTTATTTGAAGTAATATTATTTTTTATCTTTTCAGTTTTCTGGTAAAACGGAACGTAATCGTACGCTAACAGACATGAGTGACTGATTTCTGTATGGAATACATAATGAACGATTTAACTGTAGTACTAAGTAGTCCTCTGTTAGATCTGGATTCGTAATAATGTTAGGTTTATTCCAAGTATTAACTTTAGGAATGGTTTAAACCTCGACCATTTAGACCACGTTTCGTCCGAGTTTTAACAGATTTTTTGTAATAAGTATATGTTTTTTTTACAGCGGCGGTCTTCAACCGGGGGATATTGTAACGAATATAAACGGAAAGCCGGTGCACAGCGCTAGCGACATCTATACGATGTTGGAGAACTCCAGCGGCAGTTTGCGTGTGGACGTCGTTAGAGGCCGCCAGCGGATCACTCTGTCTGTCACACCTGAGATACACTCGTAACATATTGGGATATTACATGCCTAGTCGTCCCATCCCTAGCCATGGGTTTAGTTGAGTTAGCTTGAGATACATATTGGGACATCATTACAAGCCTTTTTTTTTTTTTTTTCATCAGGAAAATCCGTCATGGAGACCCAGTCGCCATAGGGGGCGAGTGGGTACTGCCGGACTACTACCGGCTAAAAACCTGATGGTATACCTCTCTGCTCGTAGCAGGCGAGGTCGCGGGAAACGACATTCGTCCGTTTCCCCGCCTTGAGCACTGAATGGACACCCCAAGAAGGCACAACGGGATATACGCCGCGCGCCTCCGCTCGGGCCACTTTCCGTCCAGAGAGCTTTGGATGGCCCTACCCATCCGCAGCTCTGTGACCCCGGTTGGATTGGATGTCCAACCGTTAGGTGTCCATCCCTTCCCCTCCGCCGCCGCTGGTCGGTGCCGGTGCACGGGCCTTCGGCGGGCGACACTCCTTGGTGACGCCCACTCTGTGGTCGGACTTGCGACCCGCCGCAGCACAATACCGACATTTCGGTGATGGCGCGGCGCACCGTGCGGCCTTATGGCCGGGCTCGCAGCAGCGGAAGCAGATTCCGCTGCTGTCTTCCACTGCGGTGCATCGCACGCCCACATGCCCTGTAAGTAGGCAGCGATAGCACCGCTGGGGACGTGGGTCCAGCGACTGTACCCGCGCCATCACCCATCCGACCCTTAGTCGGCCGGCCTCGACCAGTTTCCTCGCGGCGGTCACTGGGCACCGCACCCAGATAGATCCCGTACCCTGGGAGTTGCGCCGGATTTCCCCGGTTTTCACCGAGGATTCCAGGCACCCCCCGTCACGCATCACAGCGACGACGACATCAGCTACCAGCACCGTGTCGTCCAGGTCTCCGATCCTCAGTTCGGCCGACTTGACTGGCCTGGAGACCCGGACTGCGTCCTCGGGCAGGACCTCCTCGATTCTGGCAGCTAACGCGTCTGCCACCTCTCCTGTGTTGGCGCCGGGGATCTCCAGGATACGGGATCCGGTCCTTCCGACTCTAAACCTAAGGTCGCTGACGCCGAGCTCGGCCAAAGAAATACTTCGCTTCGGTGAGCAGCGACGCATAGGTGACGCCCCTATCCTCGGCCCCCGGCCTCATGGTCAGGACTACTGCCGTTAACCGAGGGGGGCGTGCTTTCACCCTTTTCTTACGCTCGGAAGGCTTTCGCTGCGGTTCCTCAGTCTGGCCGCCGCGCGGCCCCTTCTTGGGTTGGACTTTGGCGGGACCTGCCTGGCCTGTGCCAGCGCCTTTGCCCTTCCCGCGTCGCACAACCGTCGACCAGCCCTCCTTGTTTGTTTTTGAGGTCGACGGTTGCGGAACGCTCTTTCCGATAGGCTCGCGAGAATACTGGCCATCGCCAGGCACTGTACCGGATGATCCGGCAGTAGGCGCACTCTTAGCCGCTTTTGGTGGTCGCCTGCGGTTCGCCGAGATAGGGTCTTCCATCTCGGCGAAGCGGCTCTCCATCATTTCGCCTACTCGCCGGATGATCCGGTCTTCGGCGTCTTCGTTAATGGTCCGGGGCGGGGCGTCTACCGAGGCCACTACCGACGTCCCCGATGTGATCACGACCGGTGGGAACTCGGCCGCGTTCTTAGCCTCCTCCAGCTTGGCCATAGCTGCATGCATAGCTTTACGGTCCAGAGCATTGGACTTCTTAAGGTCCTCCAGAAGCCGTCTGCTCTCCTGTGCCTCCCGCCTCAACTCCTCTCTCTCAGCTTTCAGCTGCGCTAACTCCTCAATAATGGAGTAGGTGGAGCTCACCCTTACACGCAGGTCCATCAGCTCCGTCTTCTCTGCCATGCACTCCGCGGCTGCCCTGTTCTTCTCATACAGGAGCTCCTCCAGCTCGTCTCTGAGACGGGAGTTCTCTTCGGCGATAGTTGCCATTTCTATGTTGGCCGACCTCGTCTTCAGGACTTCGGACGCCGAGCGGATGGCTTCAACAGCGCCCTTCACTTCCCTGACGATGGTGCCCTTAAGGTTGCCGGACTTTTTGATAGCGGCAAGAACCTGAAGAGCACTCTCCTCAATTGTTGCTCCCAATTCATCGGCGCGAAGCACCAACTCCTTACTAGTTTTTCGGCGGGTACCCGCCGAAGATACCTCCACCAAATCGACGTCGTCCTCGGATTCCGGATGTACCGGCCTCTCGACAACTCGTCTCTTGCGATGAACTCGCTTGGGCGAAGTGCTCATCACTAGGGTGATTGATCCCTCCGATTGCGACCCTGTGATCTCGTCCTCGGTGATGGGTGTTCCAAGCGCCGACTCGTACCTCCTACTACCTTCTCTCACCCTCGACTGACTATCGTTGTCCCCCCCAGAAAACGTGGGACAGTCCACCCCCGGCATATCCGGTGCGGTGGAGGAGGATTGTCCGGCCGCGGAGCGGCCGGTACCTCCCTGGGGTAGTTTCTTTTTACGGCTAGCCATTGTCATATTTTGTTCCTTTTTACGGGTGTGGTCTCGAACTCCCTCCAACGAAACAGAAAAAGAGACATAAACCAAAAGACAGAACAGACCAAAGAATAGGAAAGGACAGAAACAAACAAAACAAAAAAGAACCAAAATAAGAGGGGAAGAAAACCAAAACAGAAGAAGTAAATAAAACAAGAACTATTTACAAATCTATTTACAAAAGAACTATGTACAAATATATTTACATTACTAAAACTAAACTATTTACAATTACCTATATACACTCCTAACTATCTGCCGGACTATCGGCCGACATAGTAGCAGTATCCCGAAGGAACGACTACTATCCCGCCCAGGGCGCACCAGAACCAAACCATTGCTCGGCCACCGTTCCCCGCGGACGTATCCAGGAGGATGGGGAAGCCTCCCAATGGATGGCCCATACTTGGAGGTTGTCCGACCACGTCGCCCCAAAAAAAAAAATCATTACAAGCCTAGTCGTCCCTCCCTAGGCATGGGTTACATACATATTGGGACATCATTACAAGCCTAGTTGTCCCATCCCTAGGCATGGGTTTACTTGAGTTAGCATAGCATACACTCCTAACATATTGGGACATCATTACAAGCCTAGTTGTCCCATCCCTAGACATGGGTTTACTTGAGTCAGCATAGCATACACTCCTAACATATTGGGACATCATTACAAGCCTAGTTGTCCCATCCCTAGACATGGGTTTACTTGAGTTAGCATAACATACACTCGTAACATTTTGGAATGTCATTAAAAACCTAGTCGTCCATTCCTACGCATGGGCTTACTTGAGTTAGCATAGCATACACTCCTAATATATTGGGACATCATTACAAGCCTAATCATCCCATCCCTAGCCATGGGTTTAGTTGAGTTAGCTTGAGATAAATATTGGGACATCATTACAATCCTAGTCGTCCCATCCTTAGGCATAGGTTTACTTGAGTCAGCGTGAGATACATATTGGGACATCATTGCAACCTACTTGTTCCATCCCTAGCCATAGGTTTACGAGTTTACTTGAATTAACATGAGATACATATTGGGACATCATTACAAGCCTAGTCGTCCCATCCTTAGGCATAGGTTTACTTGAGTTAGCATGAGATACACTCATAACATATTGAATATCATTACAAGCCTAGTCGTCCCATCCCTAATGCATGGGTTTACGTGAGTTAGCATGAGATACATATTGGGACAACAGTCATCGTATATTTGTAGGGATTTTATAGATGTCAACGGTTTAGTAGACCGCCTTACGCTGGTCACAGATTCGATTCCTCGCACGGTACAAAAATTTGTATTCATAAGTATGATTCTTTGTATCGGTCTGGATGTTGTATGTATATTACGTATGTATTTACAAAAAAGAATGTAAATTTAAATATTTATATATATCAGTTGTCCAGTACCCATAACACAAGCTCTGCTTAGCTTGGCACTAGATGGCGCTGTGTGAATAGTACTGGGTTATTATTGTTATTAAATCAATCAGTTTAGAAAACAAATAGTTATAACTACGTTAAATCAACTTCCGAATTTATTTGTAACATAATAAAGTTTAATTTTGGATGTAGTAACTAACATATAAAAATGTATAGAATTGTTATGTTTAATAAAAAAATGTAGTTACGTCTTTGTTATTGTTTTATGTAAAAATTGTTATTATTCAAGAACTGTCTGAATAAAGGTTACTTAATTTTTTATGTGCATGTTTTTATTTAAATACTATCTGTACCCGCGACTTCGTCCGCGTGGAATTTAACTTTATTTTTCTAAAATAAAAGTAGCCTAAGTTACTCCGTATTACATCAGCTACCTGCCAAAAAGAGTCCCGTCAAAATCGAACCAGCCATTTCAGAGATTAGCCGGAACAGACAGTCAAAAATTGTAAAAAATGTTTTTTGGCGTATTTATATTCATGTGCATGTATTAAAAACTGTTATTTCAACATTACAAACAGACACTCCAGTTTTATTTATATGTATAGACACCAACACCTTTCACTTTGAATTTCGTATACCAGTTCACGTAACTATACAAAAACTGTTTTTATAGAAGTCGAACATTTTTTTGTTTGAATATATTTTGTAATTCTTTTAGCTTCTGCGTTTACGCTTGCTTTAGCAGAGTGTGAAATGTTTTGGAAGTGTTTTATTTATTATTTACATATATTGTGACGACCTCGGTGGTCTAGCGGTCTAGCACACCGCTTTAAGTCCGATGGTCGCGGGTTCGATTCCTCGCACGGCACAAACATTTGTATTCATGAGTATGATTGTTTAGGTATTTTCTATGTAGAATATGTATGTATTTACGAAAAAAAATTATCTATGTATTTGTATGAGTTGTCTAGTACCCATAACACAAGCTTTAGTTAGGGTAACTTGGGTCTAGATGGCGCTGTGTGAATTGTCCTGAGATTATTATTATTATTTCTTTATATATATATATTATATATCTCCCTTTGATGGGGTAATAGACTGATCATTGCGGGTAAAAATCACCAAACAATGATAGTATAAATGATGAATAATGAGGATGGATAATTTTTAAGTGGAAGACAAAAATTTGCGGACTATTCTCATCATCATCATCGCAGCCCGGAAGACGTCCACTGCTGGACATAGGCCTCTCCCAAAGATCTCCACGACGATCGGTCCTGCGCTGCTCGCATCCAATGCGTTCCAGCGATCTTGACCCGATCGTCGGTCCACCTTGCTGGAGGCCTTCCCACGCTGCGTCTTCCGGTTCGTGGTCGTGGTCGTGGCGGACTATTCTACAAGTGTTTAATATTACAGCTTTTTGGAGAAGGATGAAAGTAAGTGGGTGAAGTTTTAATATCTTGAGGCTACTGTGTAGGGATGTTGGGATGACACCTGTGGACGAGATAATAATTGGGAGAGTTTTTACTGTTTCTATCTGCTATTATTATTATTATTTGTTACATAGTTCGAGGGTTATTTATATGCGTGTGGTATTTTTAGATTTATACATGTTAATATTTACAAGACGAGATTGTATTTGCGATGTTCCTACTTTTAGGAGATGGATTATTTACACTGGTGAAATATTTATGTATATTTATCTTTATCTATATTGAATTAGTACAGATAACATAATATTACATAGTATTAGTTATTAGTTATTTTGGACATTATATTTCTATGTTTAGTTTTAATTATTTATGACATTTTTATAAAAATTATTATTTGCACATTTTGACCCACTCAACACTTCCTATGCCACGCTCTATTGGCTGGACGAGATCTCTTTTAGGTATAAGTCCTCCTTCGTTAACATTAGTTGTAATTAATATACATACAAATGTATTTAAGTGCAATAAAAAGAATATTTAATATTGCGACCTCGGAACTTATTAATATAATAATATCATTAATTAAGAATAATTCTATTGAAATACTGGTTCCAAGAAATAACAGAATACTAAAGCCGTGGATTACATTAGGTATTTTGAGATGTATACGTACAAGAGACAGAATGCACGGAAGAGTAAGGAAGAATCCAAATAATAATACTCTGATAATTACATATAAAAGATATAGGAATTTTTGTAATAATTTACTGAAAAAGGTTAAAAAACAATATGAAAAAGATCAATTAATAAGGTACAAAAATAATTCTAAAAAACTATGGACTACTATCAGAGAAATTACTAACACAAATACACGAAAAGCCTTACCTTTAGAACTACTGAAATCCCACGAAAATCACATTGTAGCAATTAATAAAATTAACAAATATTTTACAAATATAGGAAAACGATTGGCGGATAATGTTCCCACTACTATTCAACCTTTTTCTAATGAACAACAAATCCCCCTGAATTCTTTTGTTCTTTTGCCAACTGACAATGCTGAAGTAGAGCGTACAATTGCGCAACTTAAACAAGGCTGTTCTCCAGGTTGGGATACAATAAGTGCTATGGCATTGAGTACTATATCTCAGTCGGTATCGCCAGTTATTACTGATTTAATAAATCGATGCTGTGAGGAGGGAATTTTTCCTGATGTCTTAAAGAAAGCAATAGTTCTTCCTATTTTTAAGGCTGGTGATAAGGGATGTATCGAGAACTATAGACCCATTGCAATTCTATCTACATTGTCTAAGGTATTCGAGCGCATTATAAATTCCAGACTAATTACCTTTTTAGAAAAATATAAATTACTCTCTAAGGCACAATATGGATTTAGACCTGGTTTATCTACAGATAGTGCGATGCTTGATTTTACAAACTTTTTAATTGATAAAATTGATCATAAAAAGAAATGCTTAACTATATTTCTCGATCTCGCTCGGGCTTTTGACACAGTTTCTCCACAAAAACTTGTAAACAAGCTCAGTAACCTAGGTGTTAGGGGTTCACCATTGGCACTATTAACAGATTATCTCAAAAATAGAACACAGCTAGTTAAAATAGGTGATAATGTAAGTACGGATATACCAATTACACTGGGTGTTCCACAAGGCAGTATATTGGGTCCTACGTTGTTCCTGTGCTATATCAACGAACTGTGTCAGCTTAACATAAAAAATTGCCGAATAGCGTCATATGCGGATGATACTACCCTAACATTTTATGCAGAATCCTGGAGTGAACTTTTTAATGTTGCTCAAATTGGTTTTGATAAGGTATGCCATTGGCTGATGACAAACTCTCTAACACTAAATGATGATAAAACGAAGTATATAGTATTTTCAATTAAAAATCATGCCAATTTACCTGACTCTAATCATACAATTCAAGCGCATAAATGCAGTTTCCCAATAATACAAAATTGTAATTGTCCCAAAATTAATGCTACTCAATCTATTAAATATCTTGGTGTACATATTGACTCAAATTTATCATTTGAAAAACACATACACACGATCTCACAAAAAATTCGTAAGCTCAGCTATGTCTTCAGGCAACTACGCGAGGTCGCAGATATAAAAACAATAAAAACAGTTTATT